ATTCACATCTTGGACAGCGTTGACTGGCACTGAGTATGTGCCAGCTCTGGCTAAGCCCTGAGGACGTGGTTGTGGTGGAGAGAAGGGGGCCTGCTGTTGACAGGAAGGCAGAGGCACCAGAGGGCACAAGGGACCGGGGCGCTAGTTCACAGGGTTGGTGCAAAGCAGCCGTAGCGACACCTCAGTGCCTGAGCCCGTGTCTTCCCAGTGGGTTCCCTGTCATCTCACAGGGGTGAGCCCTCTCAGAAGAGTGGAAAATGGGGACTGACCTGCATCTGCCAGCCTTAGAGGGAAAGAGTGGGAGCTTGTCCACCTGTGACAGGTCAGGTGCCGGAAACCATCACATGCCGTTCCCGGCTGCACCTCCTCACGCCAACCACTGAAAGTTCTTGCAAAGGCCTCTCTTCTAATAGCTCTTGTTCTGGGTGTGTGGACACAAAGCTGGTATTTTCATGAAATTTGAAATTGTCCTTTCTGAGTTGATATAAATTCACATATTACCAAAGACCTAAATGGTACCCGGTTTGTGCAGTGGGGCTTACCTTTTGTAGCTATATGCATAACTATTTCTCTTAACTTTAATTTGGGAATTCCTATAGAAAAAACATCATTTTGTTAATTGGGAATTGGAAATTCTTTAGTTCTTAATTCCATGGAGACACATGTTTTAATAATTCAGTTTTGGGTAATGGCAGGTTGCTGGGCTCTATAGCAGGACCATCTGTATACAGCCCCTTGTAAGTAGAAGGTCATCCGGGCACCAAGGTAAAGAGACCAGGGACTGACGTTCTTTCTTAGGCCCGTGACGAGCAGACTTCAGCGATTGCTGACATGGTCTGATCTGAAGAACCTAGAAAAGCTGCTCCTACCCACCTCATTCTGCCAATTCCAAAATAACTCTTCCCTCAGCAGTTATCTTGTCTGAAATTTCATCACAGAGTCCTGGCCGTCATTGTAAAGGCTTTAAATATGGTCACCTTGGGGAGGGGTTATTTAAGCTGTTATCTACTAAGAACGCATAGAGATGACCTTCTAACTGCCAGCTGATGCACACACTAAGTCCCTTCTTCTGGAAGGAAACCCTGTGATGTGGGTACCCGAGGTGGTACTTCAAACCTAGATTCACATCTTGGACAGCGTTGACTGGCACTGAGTATGTGCCAGGCTCTGGGCTAAGCCCTGAGGACGTGGTTGTGGTGGAGAGAAGGGGGCCTGCTGTTGACAGGAAGGCAGAGGCACCAGAGGGCACAAGGGACACGGGGCGCTAGTTCACAGGGTTGGTGCAAAGCAGCCGTAGCGACACCTCAGTGCCTGAGCCCGTGTCTTCCCAGTGGGTTCCCTGTCATCTCACAGGGGGTGAGCCCTCTCAGAAGAGTGGAAAATGGGGACTGACCTGCATCTGCCAGCCTTAGAGGGAAAGAGTGGGAGCTTGTCCACCTGTGACAGGTCAGGTGCCGGAAACCATCACATGCCGTTCCCGGCTGCACCTCCTCACGCCAACCACTGAAAGTTCTTGCAAAGGCCTCTCTTCTAATAGCTCTTGTTCTGGGTGTGTGGACACAAAGCTGGTATTTTCATGAAATTTGAAATTGTCCTTTCTGAGTTGATATAAATTCACATATTACCAAAGACCTAATAATAATGATTTTTAATTCCATGTTTTTTGGAATAACAAGAGACCTAAAGCCTCATCTTAGTTTTTTTCTCACTATATGACTTTGGACAAATCACCTCGTTATTCCGGGCGTCTCTCAGTTTTGCCCTTGGTGTCGGGGAGCTAGGCAAGGTGGTCTCTGAGCCCCCCACCACCTCTGACATTCCACCAGGCATGGAGTCAAAGCTTCCCATTTACTGGCCTTTACATGAGCCTTCTATGAGAATATAGGTCACTTTTGCAGACTTTAAAAAAAATGTAGTCTAACATTTGAAGATTTTCATGCTAGAGTAGTCTGCTAATTCCAGTGAAAACTGCAGGTCTGGCCAGACTCTGCTCCCACCAAGCCCTGATGTGTGGTTCCTTGTCTATTCTTAGTGACATGGCGAGGATGAAACTCTGAAATGAAGGCTCAGGCACCCTTGTAAATGTTAAGGTGAACAAGTTCTCATTTGTTGTCTATAAAGAGATCTTTGGATTCTCTTAAGTTGCCACCAACCCAGACCAAGAGTCTGTTTAATAGCTGAGTGTTTTATCGGCTCTTGTTGGATGCTGCTGATAACAGGTTTCCCCCCTGAAATCTCTGTAATTCTTGGATATTCAAGAATGCTCATTCTGGCTGAAATTTGCCTGTAATTTTAATTACAAAGGAAAGACAAGGCAACACGATGCTAAGCGGGGAGAAGCCGCAGCTGCCTACCCTTGGAGTAGAGCGACTCTAAGAGGCCACCTCTGGGATCAGACTCGCTTTCGTGGGTAGGAGGGAGCACAGCTGAGTTCCCAGGGGAACTGCAAAGAGGAGGGAGGCCCAGAGCTTCACTTAGGGTTTCCAGATGTCCGGAAGAGCAGTGGCAGCTGGGGGGACGAGGCACAAAACACAGGATTCCTCCAGGCTGCTGTTGAGAACAAGGGCCCAGCCCAGAGACAGGCGGGCACAGTGGCAGGCAGTGTGGAGGCCTGGTGAGGGGGTGTTGAGTAGGCCTGTTGGTAGAAGTGTGTAGATATGGGGCTGGACCGACAGGGAGGGCTCAGCCTGCTCAGGGGCCTCCACGAGCCCCCCAAAATGTCAGATGGCTGTGACATTCTCACCATCGACTTCTCTCCTTGGGGTCAGACTCAGAAGACAGGGGCCTTATTTCTAGAAAGCCGCCATGAGAATGTGACTATAGTGGAAGAGCAGGAGAAGGGGCTGGTTAAGATCGGAGACCCTGGAGCCAGACTAGCTTGGAGCCAATGCCAGCTCCTCCACTTACCTGCTGTGACCTTGAGCAAATGATTTGACCTCCTGTGCCCCAGCTGTCTCATCTGCAAAACAGAGGGCGATAATATTAGTACCTGTTATGAGGATTAAATGAACAACGGAAGTAAAGTGCTTGGAGCAGTCTCTGGCTCGTGGTCAGCCTCCAATAAATGCTGCTTATTGCTACCAGAATCTCAACAGCAGGAAGTGAGGGACTGGCTCATGTTCACAGCTGTATCCTAGGTTCTTAAAACAGTGCCTGGCACAGAGTAGGAGATCAATAAATGTTTCATAGGTGGTGGTAGTAGGGATGGATGGATATTATCAGAGAGGGAAGAATAAGCCCTGAGGACATCTCCCAACCTTCTCCTGGAAGTGTTCCTTCGATAAGGAGATTGTGCAGCTGTGTGACTTTAGGCAAGACTCCTTCCTAACCTCTATGAGCCTTAGAAGGAATGCAAACCTACAGTATGGAGTTTGTGCGAGGATTAAATGATTTGGCCCCAACGTACCTAAAATTTAGTTGCTGCTGTTGAAGCCAGCCTGAAGGGGGGGGGGCCCTCTAGGGCAGGATCAGGAGTTAGGGCAGTGGGGAGCAGGGGGTGAAGGGAGATCAAACTGGCGCAGCCACCCACCTGCCCCCGCTGATGGGTATAGGGCCTGTGGGGTCTGGTAAATCATACTCCTCCGCATTCTAAACTAATAGAGAAGTAGACACCAGAGTCAGATGCTAATTTTAACAAATAATGGGTTTCTCACTAGCAAAATTGGACTAGGACACACACCGAGGACCCATGGACAGAACAGTGGCCTCCCTGACTTGCACTCAGTGCTCCGCCCGGGCTGTGTGAGTGGCGGGTGCAGAGCAGGGCAGTAACACTTCCAACATTTCCAAGCATGGGGGCCGGGGGCTTCTTTTATGGGCCCCCATGGGAACCCAAAGAGAGAGAGAGAAAGGTTCCCCTGCAGCAGGTTCCCCCATCCCATGTGGGTTCCCCTACGGGAGGAGGGAGGTGGTCTTGTAGTCTCTGGCTGCAGCTAGCTGTGTCACCACAGACACAGGGCACAGCATGGAAGGCTCTGCCACTAAGAGGGCCCACAGGCTTTGCCGTTCATCCCCAGGGTTCTAGGTAAGCGGGGGACTCGAGGGGAGCCAGCAGGAAGGTGAAGGTCACTTTCATCCTCATAATCTGGGGTTCACCAGGGGGGCCAACAGGGGCTCCCAGCTGCCCTCACTCTGGAGGCCTTCCTGTCCTGCTGCAGAGCCCGAGGGAGATGCGAGGGAGGCTAAAATGGGGCAGGACGAACCTAGGAGCAGCCCTCCCCGCCCCCACAGAGCTGCCAGGTTAATGCAGAATGCCCAGTTAAATTTGAAGTTCAGATGAACCACCAATACATTTTTAGTACAAGTATGTCCCCAATATGGCACGGGGTGTACTTAAACTAAAAAAGTTCAAATTTTCCTGGGTGTCCTTACCTTAACTGGGTGTATTCTTTTTTTTTTTTTTTTTTTTTTGAGGAAGATTATCCCTGAGCTAACATCTGCTGCCAATCCTCCTCTTTTTGCTGAGGAAGACTGGCCCTGAGCTAATATCTGTGCCCATCTTCCTCTACTTTATAAGTGGGACACCTGCCACAGCATGGCTTGCCAAGTGGTGCCATGTCCGCACCTGGGATCCGAACCGGCGAACCCCGGCCACTAAAGTGGAATGTGCGCGCTTAACTGCTGCGCCACGGGGCCAGCCCGATGGGTGTATTCTTATTTGCTAAATCTGGCAGCCCTGCCCTGGCTCTTAGCCTTCCCATCACGTCTCCTGAGCCCGTTACCCTTCAGCCGTCTCCACACGGGAGCAGGGGCTCCTCACAACCAAAGGAGCTGGGGTGGTGTTCTAGCTCTTCCTAGTTTCTTAAAATAACGCTGTGTGCATTTGGCCTCTCTGATTGGCCAAATTAATTGAACCCGTTTATCCAGAAAAATACACCAGGAAAGAAACTGATAAATCTTCGGTCGGGCCGTAAGTGTCCAGATGTGGCGTTCCCCGCAGGCTGGGCTGTGCTGTTCTTTGTTCCTCAACTGGTCTGATTTCCCTTGTGTTCTCTTTACAGCCAGAAGAAAAATGCCAGTCAGAGGTAAGGAACAGGGTGCCGGTGGGTGTTCCTCTTTCCCTAATATCAGTTACTTCGTCCAGTTCAACCTGGAGATGGACTCCCAAAGCAAGTAACTGGGTCCCTTGTCGTCTTTAGATTCGCAAACTCCGGCGGGAGCTGGATGCCTCTCAGGAAAAGGTTTCAGCTTTGACCACCCAACTGACGGCAAATGTGAGTGCAGGCGCAGGGCAGCAGCCGAGGGGAGGGGAGGCGGCCCTGCTACCTTCTGAGCATCGAGGCCTCCTGCCCTGAGCCCCGTAGAAGCTGTGCCATGTAGGAAAACAGACGCGGGCTTGAGTCTCGTGGGTGTGAAGGTCGGCCCTATACTTGGGACAAATTCTTGGATGTCTGAGCCTGCATTTACTCATCTGTTCACTGGGGGATGCTGGTACTTACCTCTCAGGGTTCTCATGTGCCCAGCACCTGGAATGCATGAAGTGTTCAGAAATGTTGATTTCCCTTCCCTTCTTCTTTATGAAAGTTTTCATCTCAAGGGGAAAAAAAAAAAAAGGAAAAAGAAAAGAGAAAAGAAATGTAAGGCTCTGCAATAAATAGCTGACTGCTCTGTAATCATAATATACACAATGACGTGTTCAGGAGGCCTTGCCAACCGGCATTCAATTCAGCAACTGTGTAAGTGCCAACTCCGCCCCGGGCACTGCAAGGTCAGCAGGCAGGCGAGCACAGTCACTGTCATCTTCGTGTCCTTTCTCTGGTTCAGCAGAGACAAAACAATTTTGCTCCAACATGATAACCATTAAGATAGAGATAAAGGGAGGTGGTTGCAGAATGTATAGGAGGAGACCCTAATTCAGTCTTGGTGGGAGGGGGGAGGTCAGGAAAGGCTTCCTGGAGCAGGTGATGTCTGATGGATGCTGAGTAGGAGAGAGCAGCATTCTAACCAATGAGAATAATTTGTGCAGAAGTCCAAGGTGAAGATCTTGGTGCACTTGGAAACTCTGAGTAGCTCAGTGTAATTAGAATCTATGGCTTGGATGTAGCAGGGAGGCAGGAGTGGAGGGGAGAAGGAAGTCGGGAAGGAGGAGACATCACACAAAGGCAGGGGTCAGGTCACCTCACGGAGGCGGAGCGTTTGGGCCTCCTGCTGAAGTCAGTGGAGTGACTTCATGAGTGCGCCTGCAGCAGAGCAGCGAGGCGGTGAGCTCACTCCTTAGAAAGCTTCCTGCCTGTGGGGTGGCTATAGGGTCGGAGGAGGCACAGCCCAGCCCGAGACCACAGCTGCAGTGTGTGAACCCGGCAGAAGGCAGCCTGCCTGACCCCCGCATGCTGTTAACGTGAAAAGCGGCTTCCAGCCCTTGGCTTCCTTGGCCCAAGAAGCTGAGTCAATACCCCGAATTAATATTTACCTGGAGCTTTTGCTTGGGGAATTCCCAGCCTGAGCCTGAGTCTGCTGAAGGAAACCATTTCTCTTTAAAGTCTGCACATGGTGCGCCTGGCGCAGCGCTCGGCCTCAATTTTGAGTTCAGTAATCCGTAACTGCTCTCGCTATTGTTCGTTCTCCTGAGCTCCCTCACATTTCTGGAAATCTTTGATTTCTTTCAGAACCCTGACAACATAAGCCACTGTGTGTTATAATCCTTCTTTATCTTTCCCACTGTCAGTAACACTCTCAAAAGAATGTCAGAAATTGATCTGACATCTGAATTTCGAGGCTTAGATCCTATTCAAAAAAACAGCAGAGAGGCTGGTCCAATGGTGTAGTGGTTAAGTTTGCACACTCTGCTTTGGCGGCCCAGGGTTCATGGGTTCAGATCCCAGCCATGGACCTCCCCACAGCTCATCAAGCCATGCTGTGGCGGCATCCCACATATGAAATACAGGAGCGCTGGCACAGGTGTTAGCTTAGAGACCATCTTCCTCAAGCAAAAAGAGGAAGATTGGCAACAGATGTTAGCTCAGGGCCAATCTTCCTCACCAAAAAAAAAAAAAAGAGAGAGAGAGAGAGCAATTTTACTGTGGGTAGACTTTTCATCTGGGGAACCAGATGCATACATTTAAGTCTAGAACTGACCCCAGCCCCAGTGAGCCAGGGTCTCCTGGTATAATCCAAAGCTGTGAGGTTTGACAGCAACCGCCCTCCCAGATTGTTTGGAGCTTCTCTCCTAGTTCTGAATTACAGCTGTTAATTGCTGCCCCTTACTAATCAAAAAATAGTAAGTAATTTACTTACTAGTGAACTTGAGTTAATTCCTCCTGTGACCTTACGTTGCCCCAAGGGACCTTACATTGGGCCATTTGGAAGTCTGCTGTCTGTTCCGGAAGAGTCAGAGTGAGATCCTTTACATTCTTATTGTTATTCCAAAAGTGTATTTTGTTCCTCACGAAAGCCATTGAACCCAGTATTGTTTTCAAGTAAATATTTAGTCTTACCACACCTCACCGGCAGTGCTAACGTGTTTTATTGTCTGCCATCTTTCTCGTGGGCCAAGCCGTGTTTATTTTCCTAGAACAAACTACTCAAAGCCACCTTCTCTGGTGTTTTTATACCACTCGTGTTTGTTTTCCCTGGGAACGTGAGAATGGTGCTTGACAAGAAGGCGGTTGTGTGGCTGCGAACCAGGCTCGGAACGGCCCCTCGGCCCGTATTTTTATAGTTCACTCATGACCCGAGGTCAGTCTTTTCACTCGGCAGCAACTGTGATCCCTGGTTCTTCAGAGCAAATGCGGTTTCTTCCTGAGCTTGCAAAACACTCCCAACAGCCGTCTTCATGGGCTCAGGATTTCGTTTTTGCTTTGAATTGAATAGAAAATATGAATGCCCACAAATAGAATCGTGGGTGGCAATCAAATGCAGAAGGGGAATAAATGGAAACATAATCATTTAAACCTTGGAAATGCGAAGGTGGCAGTCCTTGCTTTAGACGTCCACGTCCTGACCTGTTTCCCTCATCCACTACGTGATGTGAATTGATTGGCTTTGGTTTTGCCACATTCTCCAGGGCAAACTAAAGCATAACTCTTTATTTTACAGTGCAAAGACATTTTCTCAATTTTTAATCAAGAGAGGGCATGTGATCAGAAAGAAACTAGCTAGTCCACTTGAATTTCTCTTCCAAGTGGTCCGTCTCCGGGCCAATTCCTAGGGCTGTTGAGAAAGGACTCCACAGTCGGTCCAAGAGGTATCCTGTCCTCAACTATCCCTGTTGGATGAAGCTAGTCAGAGAGGCCTCTGCCTCACTCCTCAGATCGCTCCTCCTCCAACTGAAATGTCCGCTGACCTTCCTGATCTTCCACATAGCTCAAGGTCACAGCTCCTCTTCCACCCAGTTCTTGTCCCGCTTTTATTCTTTACTGCGTGCATCCTCGTCTTTTCCTCTAGAATTTTACAGCATGATTGAATCTCCCTTCTCACCTCTTCCAAGATTCCCAAGTGTCCCGCTGGCCCTTCTCATTCCTCCGGTAGCTCGCTGGGTATCCACCCACCGTCTCCCAGAGACCTTTTTTGATCTCTCTACACCTGTGTTCTCATGATGTCCTTTGTCACTTTCTCATTGCCAGACCTCTTCCTTTCCCCGCAGTGTCCATTCATTCCTGTGTTTTGCAATTCCCTAACAGTTTATAGGCTATTTCCACCTATATTATTTCATTTGATGCTCACAGTGACCCTGGGAGGAAAATAGTTATTGCTCCCATTTTATTGATGAAGAACCTGAGGCCGATAGAATTAGATGACTTGTCCAATCTTTATTCTTGTTTTTAGCAATATTATCAGGATCCTCTGTCAACCAACCGGTCTTTGACCTGCTGCCCTGTGGAGGAAAGGAGAGGCCTTAATGTTGGGATGCAGAGTTGTGTCTTGCCCTTGAAGAGGATTGCAGAGAAAGGGGCAGACAGGAAAACATCACGTTTCTCAGTTCTAAGATTCTTTTTTTTTTTTTTTCAGATTTTTGTTATTTCTGAAAATTGGATGCATATTTTCATTATAATTGGCAGCGTTTTTAAAAATGTCTTAGTAATATATAAAATAATGGTGCGTCTGATGTTGTGTTCTAACAGAGGTATATAAAAGTGTAGGGAAACCCAGGGGGAAGTCATAACTCCATGGGGACACTGGGGCAGGCTTCTCCGAGGAGGGAGCAGATGGCCTTTCAATGGCTTTTTATTAACTAGGATTATAACAAGCAAAATATGCCAACCACTTTGTTCATTCATTCTGCAAACACGCTCAATATGAGCCTCTGCTGTGAGCTTGGCACTTGGCGGTCCTGCAGTGTGGTAGAGACAGGCATACATCAGCGGTCACAAGGGCACGTGCATGCTTGACCGTGATGCCACAAAGCACGCATCAGTGTCCAGTTGAGCATGAATGTGAGGAAACCAACCCAGTCTGGGCAGGTCACAAAGGCGTGAGCTGAGATCTCTTAAGAAGGATGTGGAAAAATTAGGGAGGCAGCTGGGGGAAGAACATATATGAAGGGCCTGGGTAGGAAGAAGCCCCGGGTATTTGAGGACGTGAGAGACTAAAGAACCCGCTTCCCAAAGCTTGGTGGGGAGTGGGCTCAAGAGGCTGCAGAAGTACCTGGGCTGACTCACGTGGCCCCAAGAGGATTTCAGTCCTTAAGACCAGCACCCTTAGGCACCCTTGCCTGGCGAGGTCATGACCTGAGGCTGTGTCTTTCCCCTCCAGGCTCACCTTGTGGCAGCCTTTGAACAGAGTCTTGGAAACATGACCATCAGGCTCCAGAGCTTGACCATGACTGCTGAGCAGAAGGTAAAGCAGAAAGGATGCTCTTTTCCTCCCTGCTTGGCATTAGCAACAAACCTAAAGATTTTATTCTCTTTCATTCCAGATAGTTATCTAGATTTTATTGTGCTTTCTGAACTGTTGGAATTGAATCGTAAAGAGTAGGGCTGTTGAGTGAAAATATGACCTCGATGGGGTGCTGGTAACCACATCAGCAACAGATCCCATTGCCATATGCCCACCGCTTTCCTGTGCTCACGATGCCCTTTGAAAATTGATGCCTCTTCATGTTTGAGGCAAAGATTCTGTGAAACTCCTTCATTCCTGACCTTCCTCTGTTGAAGCTAAGTTGCACTTTAGCTGAACTCTGTGCAGAAAGATTTTGGGATGACCAATATTTTTTTTTCTGTTCCTTAGGATTCAGAACTGAATGAGTTAAGGAAAACCATTGAGCTGCTGAAGAAACAGAACGCAGCTGCCCAGGCTGCCATTAATGGAGTAATTAACACCCCGGAGCTCAGCTGCAAAGGTAAAGGAAGAGAAACCACCTTCAGACCAGCAACCTGCCTGCCTGCCCTTAGGACCCTGCCTTGACAACGTGCGAGGTGACCTCCCTGCCAGAGGGTGGGGGTCCGTGTCAGCCAGGCTGGGAAGCAAACACGTTGCCAGCTACTTCTGGCTTCCATCCTCTTCTCTCATGTATCTCAAAAATGGAAGAAAACATATTTCTATTGGCAAAGTGACAGAGTGTTTCCCAGCCCTTAACTTCACTCGTGCTTTGATACTTACACATTGATGTGGGATAAACTGAAATGAGTTTGTCTCTTATTTGTCCAGGAAAATATTTAGGAGTAAATTGATTTGCCCTTGTGTATCTTACTTCAAGAGAGAGAGGAGGTAGGCGTGAGGATGAGTTACCTCCTGCACCAATGATGTTAACAGTAACGATAGAAGCACTAATGGTAGCTGACACTTACAGAGCACTCACTGTGTCCTCAGCACGTTGCTCAGTGTTGTAATTAATTAATCATCTCGTTTTCTTTCCACGACACCCTGTGAGTGCAATACTGGCCCTCTCCGCGTTGTACTGATGGAAATACAGAGTTTCAGAGGCGAGAGTCACTTCCTAGGTCACAGAGTAGTGAGAAGCAGAAGTGGGACTAGAACCTGAGTCTGTCTGGCACTGAAGCTGGTGCTCCTAAAGACCAGGCTGCAGGTGTAGTTCTGTGCTCATGAGGAAAACTGTCTGCAAAGTTTATCTCAGGATCACTGCAGTGTTGTTTCTGGTATCACGGTTACTTCCGATATCGGGCTTCCTGAAAAAGTGGTGATAGAGTTGAAATGGGAAGGATTAGCAAGAGCTGGCCAGGCAACGCCGAGGGAAAAGAGCATGAGAGGGACTTGGCTTGTCCAGGGGGCCGAGAGCAGGCTAGTGCAGCAGGAATGTCGAGGGCAGAGGGCAAGTGGGGGGCTAAGAACAAGCGTGACTATTCCCACAATTCAAAAAGACATTTGAGTGCCTATCACAGCTCGAGAGAGCCGGTGTTGGGGCATTCTCTCTAAGCCTCCTCTGACTTCTGTTTTGTAAAGTGGAGAGAGAGAACCCTCATTGAATTGACCAAAGAGGACATAGCACCCATCTGCTCAAGGACCTTAAAGCCAGCGTTGGGGAACAGAAGGTGACGTGTAGTGGGGAATACCACTAGTCCTCGGGTGTGTGGATTTAGGTGTAAGGGTCATTCCCTGGACAAGGAATGGGCTCACGGCAGCAGCTGCTGACATCCTGCCTTGGCTCTCCAGGAAACGGTACCTCCCAGTCTGCAGACCTGCGCATCCGCAGACAGCACTCCTCCGATAGCGTCTCCAGCATCAACAGCGCCACCAGCCACTCCAGCGTGGGCAGCAACATCGAGAGTGATTCAAAGAAAAAGAAGAGAAAGAACTGGGTGAGTGAACATCCAAAGACTCTGGGCGCTGTCTAACAGAGTCAGCCTCAGAACCAGTGTCCCCCTGATACGGCCCAGTCCAGCTCCTAGTTTCAGAACACAGACCTTTGGGAGTAGATCCAAAGACGCGGCTTGTGGATAGATTTCTACCAAGTCAGTGTTGTGCTCAGCCAAGCATTAGGATTTATGAAATAACTACCAACTTGTAGTTTTTCTGTTTCATGAGACTTTATGTGAAGTAGTCATCTTTCGTTTCATATATGTGTCATTTCTTCCTCATCATATGTTGGCCACAAAGTTCCAGGTGCTAGAACAAAGTTACTTTTAAGTGGTTTCTTCTTAGTTCCAAAGTACTTTTTTGGAGTGTGTATTAGTGTGTGGTTATCCCATCGTTAACTAAAATTCTTACCTATCTATTTACACAATTGCCTCTGATAGCATTAAACCAACCTTCTCTTTGAAAATTTTTTGACCATGACCTGTAAATAAAAGTTTAATAATGTAGATATTAGTCCTTGGGGAATGGTTCTAAATTGGGAAGTGTTCCTCAAAGTGGTAAATTTATTAGACCCAGTCTCCAGTGCAGTGTTTCTCCATGTTTCCATAATCCCATTGAGCTACTGGATTTCTGTATATTGGCATCTTAAACAGATTTTCCCATTCTTCTGGAAAATTCCAGCCCCCTCTCCCCACCCAATTTTTGGTTCTGCTGTTGAGGCTGTGGAGTTCTGATTGACATTGCCACTCCCTGTCTTAAGTGCAGGGACATCCCAAGTTGATCTGAAGTTGGCCAGTGTTCAGAGGGCCCCATTTGTCAATGCTGACAGCATCGTGTTTTCACAGTAGCATCAATGTCTTCATTCATTCCATGCACTTCTCACTCATTTTGTGTATCTTGGATGGGTGGCGAGGTCTAGTGATGGCGCAGTTTTGGTTATTGATGACTTGCACTGGAGGCAGGCTAAAAGGACAGTTCAGTGTGATGCTCTCATCATTCTGATTAAATTTTTTCTTTAAATTACTAATGGCTTTTAGTCAACTCATTTGCTATGACTTAAACAAATAGAATTAACTCATGTTGCTGTCTCTAATATGCTGTTGATAAATATGGTCTGATTTGATTATCAAAGTGATGAGAGAAAATTATTTTCTGAGAAAAATCATGATTATCCATTTCTTCAAGAAATAAAACTTGTTTATTTTGCTTTAAGACAACTCGTGGTTATCAGTGCAATTGGGGAGGATGGATAATTGGCATCCTCAGATAATCCCAAAGCTTGATTATGTTGAATCTTTGTAATCTCGTCTTCCACCTGGCATTTTACCAGAGGTAGAGGCCAGGATTTAAGTTGATGGTTTGTGTGCCAAATCCTTCTGTTTCTATGACTATTTTCTGGAAATATGATCAGAAGTAGGAAATGGGAGGGAAGTGGGATCTAGATTCGCCCACAAGCTGAACGTGCAGTTTGCTATGGATAAAACGTTGATGGGAGAAAAATCCCATTAATTATTTCAGAGCGGCCCATTTTCTGAATTTTATCAATGGATAAGAAAACCTCCAGAATATGTCTTCAGAAGGAAAAAAAGACTTTTGAAAAAGGAAACTTCTTTTTAAAAGACCTTTTTTCAAGACAAAACTTTATTTTTCAGCCTAGAAAAATAGGTGGTTTTCACTGCTTTCAGAGAAGATGTTGTACTTTAATTCTTTATGGTCTCATTAGAATTTTCAGATCCATCTCATGGTCTGGGGAATTTGTGATATACCAGTTCCTTTTTCCCAATAGGATTAATAAATTTCTTAAAATTATCCATTTTTTTTTTTTAGTACAAAGTGAGATGACTGATTCCCTGCTTGTGTTATATTATCTTATGTGTACCCCAGGACAGCAGGGACTCCTAAGCAGGTGTATTAAAGAGCTAGAGAGCTGTGTTGGGACCAGTGCAGCAGTGAAGCTACCCTTGCTGAGAATAGAAGACATGCCAATAATAATAATAATAATAATAATAATAAGGCACAGAGAGACGTCTGAGAAGAGGCAAGAAAAGAGAGAAGCATAGGAAGAGGGGGCAGTCATTTCAACCAGACAGAGAAGCTGGAAGAGCTCAGATTGCAGGAGACGTCCAGACTCATTATTCCTTTACTTTCACAATGGAGGAAGATGCCCCTAATGCTTTGCAAGATTGGTGATCCTACCAGAAACCTCCTTTGTGTGTGCTGTTTATTATTAGCCATGTCGTGTCTGAAAAGTCCGAAGCGTTCCCTGTCACTGGCTTTCTCTGTTAAAAATTTGTCTTTTTTCCTTCCCCTTCCCCATTTTTGCTTGCGTTTTCTCTGGCAGGTCAATGAGGTAAGCAAGACCAACGTTAATACCAGATACCAAGCTAACCCATCCATTGATATGACTAACCTCATCCGCATCCGTCACCGTGTCTGAGCATCCTGCTTTGTTGCTGTGTAACCTCATCCTCCCGACTTCCATCTGCTGAGCAGGCTCTGTCTTGCTGTTGGCATCTAGTCTTGAACCAAGAGTAGGCATGGAATGTTACCCACAGGGCCAGTCCTTTGAGCTGTCAGCACAGGATAACTCTTCTTCCCTTAATGCACTGATTCCAGAGAGCTGTTGGGAACTGTTTCATTGGGTGGGGGACAACCTCAGAATTAATTACACTTTTGTCTGCATGCCTCTGTTTTGCCAAGGCCTGAGCATGGGTTGCAGCCCTGCCAGGCTGACGGTCTTGCATGTTCAGTTGCGCAGCTCCTTCAAGCAAGCTTTCGGGAAGAAGAAGTCCCCCAAGTCAGCGTCCTCTCACTCAGACATCGAGGAGATGACAGATTCTTCTTTGCCGTCCTCGCCCAAGTTACCACACAACGGTTCCACGGGCTCCACCCCGCTGCTGAGGAACTCGCATTCCAACTCTCTGTGAGTCTGTCTGTCGGGTCCCCCTGGTCAGCCGGCATCTTGGGCCCCTAGAAACCCTCTCAGATTAGAATGGCTGGGAGTCCCGTTATGCTATACAGCTCCTTGGGATCCTTTCTGTCCTGCCTTCATAGGACCGGGCATGTTCTTTCAGGGTTTTAGGACTGGGGAGGTGGAACGAGAAAGGAAACTTAGGTTTCTGTTCTGGTGGCGTCAGCATGGATTAGAGCTGGCTGGCCTTGGGCAAGTTGCTTAACCTCTCTTTGTTTCCATTTCTTCATTTGTCAAAGTGGGATAATGGCTGTCTCCTCATCCTCTTCTAAGGACTGAACAAGATAAATGGATGTGAAAAAGCTGTAGCCGTCTTGCTGGGACAGGAAGACGGTGTTAGAAATGTTGGCAATTTTTGCTGGAATTCTGGTTCATTTGGGTGACAAGGCTTAGAGAGTTACGCTTTTCTTCTTTGATCAAAATTTGGTGTTGACTCCTTCTCTGAGGTCAGCACTCAGAAACTGGAAGTTTAAAAAATGGGGAGATTCGGTGTCTGTTCTCTTTACCCAAGGGTTCTCTGCTTCGTGAAATGATTCATCCCCGTGAACTCAAGTCGATTTGGGCAGAGCTCGTCAGGAGCACGGCTGGTTCTGTTGAGTGAGATGCACATTTGCTCACTTGGCGTTGATTTAAGTGCTGTTCCCCTTGGTGACTGATTCCATAAACAGGAGGCGTCGTCTGCTCTTGCCCAGCCGACCTCCGTGACTTCTGCTGAGTACCCACTGATCCTTGCTCCATCAGGGGCCTAGGGAGACAGTCCTGTGCCCCATCAAAAAACTTAAGGCCCAGACGCTAGAGGCAAGACAGGTCAGGAATGGCTTGGAATGGACAGGTGAGGATCCAGGCGTCAGCTCAGAAGGGGCCACGGCCGGCTCCCTGCAGCAGTGCAAAGGTTGCTCCTGCCCCACAGGGCTGAATTCCATTAGCGACCTTGGTTTGCCAGGCCACGGGTGAAAGAAGAACGGAGCTCAAGTCGTCTGCAAGGACAGTTATCAGCAAAATGAAACAGTGCCTGGGAGAGGAGGGCCACTGTGCCTGGGGTCCGAATAGCCTCTGAGCTAGGGCAATACAAGGGAGCAGTGCTGGCAGACACCTCAGTTTCCTGTGTGGTGCAAATGGGATTAATTACATCTGTTTCACTGGATTCTTGTAAGGGCCGGGTCAGACGCTGTGCGCGAAGGGCCTCCTTCTGCCTGTCCCGTCCTCCTTCGGTCTCAGGAGCTGTAGAGCTGTCCTAAGTCCTCTTACCTGGCCTGCCCTCCTGCTGAAGACGGCAGCCTGTACAAGGGTCCAAGGCCGGCTCACCAGATGGGTGCGGGAAGTGTGAGCAAGAGCATTGGCCAGGTCTCTGCAGTCCACCAGCTTCCCAGACCACGTGGAAGACAGAAGTGGAAGAGAGGGAGCAGAGAGAGGGCCTGACTCTGAAGCAACCCTGCTCACCGGCGAAGCACGGCCCTTTCGGGATCTCCCTTTGCTTAATTAGATGAGCAGGTCTTCTCCTCTTGGGGAGCACCCCAGTAAGAGGGGCCACGGGGACGTGCGCTTTGTTACGGACGAGGGTAAACCCTGAGCAGAGGAGGGAGAGGCGCGCTGAGGCCTGGATGGCAGTGCCGCCCAGCGCCGTGTGTTCTGGCGTGACGACCGCGAGTATGAGTCTGTCTGACCGGCAGGGTGCCGAAGGGGCAAAGAAAGCACAAGTCGCCTGTGACTCCCATGGGCCATGATCCCAGAGCATCCCAGTCCAGCTGCTTCCTGACCAGGGATAAAGGAGCTCCTTGTCTCTTCTTTATTTATTGATGTTAACATTTTATGTAACAACTTGTGTGTGCAGGGCACTGCCCTAAATGTTCTGAAGAGACCAAAGAGGACGTTAAGCAGAGTCCCACCCCTGGGGATCAGGGACGTGACACGGTACAGCTCACTTTGCCTCTGAGCTGCTGCTCTGTGCCTGGCTCTGTTCCTGGCCCCAGTTATGAAATGCACAAGACACATCAGGTTCCTGCTCTGGCAGACCCCATATACTGGGGGGAGATGGACATTAGACAAATAAATATGAATTAACTAGAAAAATTGGATGATGCTAAGGGTTAAGACTGGGAAGTCAAATAGTGTGTTGGGGTACAGGGTACCTTGGCAGCACCTTTGGATGAGGTGGCCAGGACAGGCCCCTCCGAGGAGGGGACATTTCAGCTGAGATCCTCATGACAGGAGGAGCCACAGGTCAGTTCTGGTCAGCAACACTAGCTGCTGCGACAAACTCGGTCCCAAAGCTCGGCGGCTTTACTTATGACTGTTCTTCTGTGGTTCACTCCAAACCTGACACAGATGTTCCTCGTCTGCAGGTGGCCTGCCGTGTGGTGATACAGGCTCTGTCTGTGGGCCGGCCTTTCCACGGGGCCTGAGTCCTCTGCTGGGGGCTCTGTGTCCCCCGCAGGTGGGGAGTGGACAGAGCACAGAGGATCCTGCAGGAGGGCCAGGCCTGGAAGAGATACATGTCACCTCTTCCCACAGTCCACTGAGCAGGACTTGGGGCCACACCACCTGCAAGGGGAAAAATGAAATCCATGCACCTGGGAGGGAAAGGAAATGGGCCATGGTGACCACGTAGCGGCCTCTGCCACCCCAATCTCACAAGGAGCAGGGCAGCCTTCTTGACCCAAGAAATGGGTAGCACAAGGAACCTCGAGTGGAAACGGGCCTGTTGCGTCTGAGAAAGAGGGGGATGGCCAGCGTGGCTACCGCTTGATGGGCAAGTGGCCAAAAATGGGGCCAAAGAGGTGGGCAGAGCCTAGAACACGTGAGCTTTGAAGTCACAGTGAATCTGCGTCTGATTTCACGTGTGATGGGTAGAGGTTGGAGAGTTGTAAGCAGGAATGTGAGATCATCTGAATTGGTGTTTCACAAAGATCGGTCTGTTCTATGGTTAAGGCGTGTAGGGGAGCATGAAGGGAGGGAGATCACGTCAGAGGCGGACAGCAGTGTCCCCCTTTTCACCCAACTCCAGCCCCCTTGCTGTTCTTGGAACGTTCCAGTTGCACTCCCCACCTCTAGGCCTTTGCTCTTTCTGTGTCCTCTGCCTGGTACCCTTTTCCCCCACATACTCTCACTTCCTCAGGTCTCCACCTGTGTGTCTTGCATAAAATAACCACCCCCCCACCAGCCAGCACTCCCTGTCATCCCCTCGGCCTTGTTTTATTTTTCACCATTGCAAATATCACCACCTGTCATGTAGGTTTTCTTTGGTTATTTCTTCTTTGTCCCCTAGCCCCACAACACCAGCCAAAAATCTAGAGCATAAGCTCCATGGAGGTAGGACTCTGTTGGTCTTGCAGATATTCACACGTTAGCTGGAGTGGATGAATGGCTGCTGCTGGAGGGATTTCAGATATATTCTAGAGGGAAAGTTGACAGCACGTGGTGACGTGGAGTTAGGGAAAGAAAAGAAGAATCCGTGAATATTCCTAGACTTGCAGCTTGAGTACCTGTGTATGTGGAGCCGTCGTTCCTGGGATGGGGGCAGATACAGATGGGGCCGGATGGGGTTCAGGAGCTCTGGTCAACCATGTTAAGTTTGAGATGGCCCAGAGACATCACCTGGAGATGCCAACCAGCCTGGGGGGCTTGGAGGTGTAGATTTGGGAGACATGGGCCATGGGTGATGTTGAAAACTGGGAAACTGGAGGGGTTTTCCGGGACGTTGATTGGGGGCAGAGGGGAAAAGACTGAGCTCTGGGTTCTTTGAAGACAAGTGGAGCAACCAGTGAGGTGTGGGAGGAAAGCCAGGAGTCTAGAGAAGAAACTCTGTGAAGGCAGGACTAGTAACTGGGCCGGATGCTGCTGAGCAGCCAAGTGAGATGAGGAGAGAATGGCGATGATGCACGCAGCTACACAGGACTCTCAGAAACATGGGGAGAACTCTCCCTCCAAACTACTTTCCCCATGGGGATGGGGCGGGGCGGACTCTTGGCTCGCCAGCTCTTTTCAGACATTCCGCAGCGTCCGTGCACACTGGAGATGTTTGTTTTTGGTCTAGCTTTCCAAAGGGTGGGCAGAGAGCAAATGCTCCTTTCCAACCTTGAAGGGTTTGCAAGAATGTGCAAATCTAGATGTGAGAGGCAGTTCAAAGAAGAAACCAAAGACAGAGGAGTCAGGGCTCAGAAAAGTCCCTGCCCTGTGGGCGAATGGAATTGTGGTGTGGGAAGGCAGCGTTTCCCACACTCGAGGCGTTTAAAATTAGAGATGCCACCAGCCCTGCCTTCCGGACAAGACAGTGGGAGTATGCCACAGTAACCTGTTAGGGACCGAGTAGGGAAAAAGAGACGTCAGTATGTGCCCCGTGCAGTGGCCCAGCACGTCTTGAGCGCCCACTGGAGATCGTTCAGGAGCCTGGGCTCTGGAGCTAAGCAGACCTGCCAGGTTTGATCCTGACTCTGTCATTTTTAATGGGCATGTTAATCTCTCTCCGCCTTTGCCTCCCCATTTTTAAAATAGAGATAATTCTAGTACCTCTTCATGGAGTTAGTGGTGCATGGAGTAGATGAAATAATATGCTGCAGATGCCTAGCACAGTTGTTCATGTAGTCGGTGAGCGCTGGCAGAGTCTGTTCCATGGTCAGACACTAGAAATGATGCAGAGAAGACCCTGGTCCTAGAAGGGCCAGCAGCCACGCAGGGGGTAGCCTGTTAACTACAACCAAGTTCTCAGTGATGTACCAGAAGTCTGGTGTGGGATGGAACCAAGGGTGAAGGCTCTGTCCTGGGCAGGAGGGAGAGGGACTGACTCTTACTTGGGCCACTGCAGACGAGCTGTTTCAACAGCATCTCTGTGTTGTAGTGCATCCCTCCCGTGTGGCCTCGCAGTTGTGTGTTTCTGAGAACTGGCCACTTTGGGGGAGCACAGGAGGGCCTCGCACTCTTGATCCAGTTCCTCCTGACACAAGCTTGCTTCATTTTGGTTTGCTTCCCTTTGTAAAGTTATTGCGGCCAAGCTTCGCAAAGTAACCCAGGTGATGTTTTCCATAAAGTAGGTGCTGAGGAAATATTGTCTCTCTTGCTGAGAAACCTTTCTGGGGAAAAGGTGCAGACCCTGTAAGGAGGCTGGAACATACTGCCTTGCCATGGAACACCCGACAGAGCGGACTGACAGTGTGGACCGAGGCCCACTGTTGTCTGCCATGGATTGGAGCCGGCGGGATCTGTCCAGGGCATGGTTTGGCTAAGACCAGAGTGTCACAGTGGAATTTTGTTCAGACTTTACACTCTATTTAAACCAGGAAACCATAGTTCTCTCTCAAGAAAGAACCAGTTTTTGCAAGCTCCCCCTGCAAACCTCCCTCGCCAAAAAAAAAAAAAAAAAAAAGTGACTATATAGTTAGACCTCACAGACCCCAGGCTATGCCAAGCACAGGGAGCTCGGGGCCAGGGGGAGGATCTGGACTCTAAAGACATTTCTGTCTCTCTACGCCTTTTAGTCCCAAAGCCGGTGGCCTCAGTTTCTCATAGGTATGAAATGGGAACAATTATAGTATTTTTCAGGAGTCCATTGGAGATTTCAGAAGATTTTGAAGCAGAGAAGCTCCCTTGGCTGCTGGCAGCTCCTAAAAAGAGGAGGCAGTTTTCCTCTCTTTGTATCTTTCAAATTAAAACAGTTCAGGTGCAGGTCAAGAAAACAGCAGCAAAAAGATTTGGCTGTTCAGGTGTTAAATTTTTCTTCTAGTCCTTTCTGCCCCCAAAATACAATTACATCTCTTTTAACAATTATAAATGGTTTTCCTTTGGCAGTTAACGGTTCCGCGCCCTCAGCCAGTTTCACGGTCAGGTTTTGCTTGGCCTCACGTCCGGGACTTGGGTCGTGGACAGCAGGCTCACGTGATTGTTCTGCAGAGACCACAGGCTCACCATGTCTTTCAGAGATAATCGGCTTCAGCTTTGCACTTTTATGAACGTGGGATTTTTTTCATTTTCTTTTTTCTATCTTCAGTCCAAGAAATGTCGAAGCTTTCTATTCTGGATCACCCCTCCTGCCAGATCCTATGATCTTTGAAACCAACAGAACTTCTAGCAGACTGCTGTTTCTAACCCTGCAATTCATCCTGGGTTTTATGATCTTGCACTTTGTGCTAACTTGCCAGGTGTCTGAAGAGTGAACCTAACTAATCAAATAAGGAGCCCAGCCTAGAAGGACCACCTCATAAGAAAGAGGGCCTCACCTGGGTGCCATGCTCACAGGGTCTGGCGTACAGCTGGGAAGGGAAGACAACTAGCCACAATGTTGTAGTTGTCAGATGAAAGTTTGGCTTCCACGTCATGCTATCCTCTCTGTCTCTAGCTGCCTGAGATGTTTCTCTTCCATGCCATGAGCTTCTTAAGCAGTGTTGGGGGGGGTGGGGCAATGGAATAATGTTCCTCTCTCTAGACACTTTCAGAAGAGTGGGTTTCAGAGTTTGTTTCTGTGACCAGAAACAGACTAACTCCTTCCACACGTATCTTTAGGTAACTTTTCCTTTTTGGCAAATAAAAATCACCACTCATCTGTTTGACCCTGGACTGTCTGCTCTTTGAAACAGATAGTTGACCTCGTTTCTCTGAGTGGGTTTAGATCTCAAGGGGTTGTGGTGTTGTTATAGGGGCCAGGCTGTGTGCACATTGCAGGGGGTTCAAACCCCCAAGGTCACTGCACCCTTTTGCCAGCTCCTGTTTATCCTTAGATTATTAGAATTTTGCTGAAAGCTGCACCAAAGCCATTGTCATTCTCAGAGCTCTGCAGAGAAAGAGTAAAGAGAAGCAGTAAAATCTGTAAATTTCAGGTGCTCTTGGTATTGTCACCTCCAGGAAGTACTGGGCAGCTGGTTATCCAAGGTCACTGCTGCACAAATCTGATGATGGACACGGCCCAGCGGTCACTGTAGGACTGAAAGGAGATGAACTTGGAGCTGCTTTCATCAGTAACGTTCCTCTTTCCCTAGGATTTCAGAGTGCATGGATAGTGAAGCCGAGACGGTCATGCAGCTCCGAAACGAGCTGAGGGACAAGGAGATGAAGCTGACAGACATCCGCCTGGAAGCCCTCAGCTCTGCACACCAGCTGGACCAGCTCCGGGAGGCCATGAACAGGATGCAGGTGAGAGCCCAGGAGCAGGAACTGAGCCCAGGCTGTCTGGAAGGGGCGTCAGGAGGCTGCCCTCCGCCACGCCCCAAGGGCTGCATCAGAACCTGGTGGCAGCCCTCTGCTTTCTGAGCCTCTCTCTCTTTTCAGGTTTTCCCATTCATTGCTCCAAGACCAGTGTTTTGAAAGCGTAAGAGCACCATCTCCTCCTTCGCACAAGGCTTTCAGTGGCTCTGCCTTGGCCTCTTGCGTGTGCTGCAGTCTCGTCACCTGGCCTTCAAGGCCTTCTGCAGCATCTTTTCAGTCTTAATCCACCGCCCACACCCCCCAACTCCACCTTCCAGACTCGACTCGCGAGCCAGAGGGAGCCACTGACTGCTCCCTTTGTGTGCCCCTGGAATTTCTGTCGTATATCCCTCCTCCACGGGCTGTTCTGCACATCCAACTGGCCCCTTTCCTCCAGGCTCAGCCCAATGCGTCTTCCTCTGCAAAGCTTTTCCAAGTCCTCCATCTGGAAGAATATTCCTATAGGGTTGTTCTTACTGCCCCTCACCTTCTGCCACGGATTGAGGGTATTTGGGTCTGCTGGCTATTCTTTTTTGCTTTCTTTCTCTGGATATAGCATCAGTGTTTTGCACACGGCAGGTTTTTCCTAAATATTCCTAGAATGAAAGACCCCTGTGAGCTCTGTCGTGTGGGGCCTCAAAGAGAACAGCATTTCCCAAAGCAGGCTCCATGGAACACTCATTCCATACTCATTCCATGAGAGGCTCTGTGAGAGGAGAGCTCCTCGTTCAAAGATGTCTGAGAAATGCCACACACAGTGCGCCCCTCCGACATCCACAATGCACGGCAGCTCATTAAAGGCTCTGAGCACTCCCGCAGTAAAGAACCCTGTCAAACCCAGAGCTTCCCAAACCTCTTAAATTATAAGACACTTTTTCACTTAATGCTCAGGCAGCAGACTGGGAAATATTCTGAGGTCTTTCCAAAGACCAGTTCTCTGAAAGGGTGGACGCTCCCTTCCAGACGGGTCTTGTGTATACCGCAGAGGCCGCAAACGCTGCCGAATCTCTGTGATGGTGGGACTCCCTCTGCCTCGCCTAGGATACCCGCTTGATCCCTGCAGGGAACTTTCACATCCCTCCTCCAGGAAAGGTTTGTCGGCATCACATCCACCTAGTAAGGGGGCGTCTCCCTTACTCTTCGCAGAGTGAAATAGAGAAGCTGAAAGCGGAGAATGACCGGCTGAAGTCGGAGTCTCAAGGCAGTGGCTGCAGCCGGGCACCCTCCCAGGTGTCCCTCTCTGCCTCCCCGAGGCAGTCCATGGGCCTCTCCCAGCACAGCCTCAACCTCACAGAGTCGACCAGCCTGGGTGAGTCCATCACAGGGCTGGGGCAGGTCAGGGCCCTCGTCTGGCACTTCGCGCTCCAAGCGAGAGCCCCGAGACAAGCAGACAAACAGACCAAATGCAGAGGCAACAGGCGTGTGTGCACTTGGGGTGTGCGAGTGTGTCTGCGTGTGCGTCTGCTACCAACATGAGCCCAGCCGTTAGACTGCTGTCATGCTTTGCTCCAGCGCCCCAAATTCTCCAAGCCATGAGCTTGGATTCCCCTCACCCACCACGCTGAGTTCTGTTTGATCCATTTCAAGAGGCTGACCTGCAAGCTGAATGCTGCCAACCAACCCCGTAGTGGCAGATCCCTACTGGGGCAATGGCTTGGTCCATGACCTTCCTGCCTTTGGGATGGACTCCAGGCGGGCACAGTCATTAGCAAACGTGATCCAGGTTTTCTTTGTGAGCATACTGAGGCTGGCGCTTTGATTTCTTATCCATGATGCTGCTGTTTGCTCTCGTTTTGGTTGAGTCTCCCTTGCACTTCCATCTAGCAAGGTGCATCGTCAGCCCGCTGGCTCCTTGGTTGGTCCACCGTTGGTTTCTGTGGTTGCACTCGCCATTCTGCCCTCTCCCCTTCCCCACCCCACTTCCCCCGCACCCCGACACCTGGTTTGTCCCGCTGCTGTGCCAGTGAGCAGCGGGGGTGTCAGGAAGCCGGCTTTGCTGTCCCCTGTGCCTAAGGCTGTTGATGTTTTCCATTCGCAGACATGTTGCTGGATGACACTGGTGAATGCTCGGCTCGGAAGGAAGGAGGCAGGCATGTTAAGATAGTTGTCAGCTTTCAGGAGGAAATGAAGTGGAAGGAGGTTAGTTGGATCCTTTCCCTGCTCGGCCTGTCCCCTCCCCAGCTAGAACTGCCTAGCGTAGTGATTTCATCGTCAGACCGAACCACCTCAGCGCCTCAGGTGGTCTGGTCATACTACTAACGCTTTCCTGACTAACCGTCACCCCCAGGAGCATTTTGACACAATCGAAGTGAGCAAACTGCCCTCCACCCCACCCCCCGCTCAGAAAGTCTGATAAGGGGTACTAAAGTGGCCCCACGTCGCACTGTCATGTAACCGTCTAAACACTAACGTCAGTCAGAAATGGCTTTTCTGAATTTAATATATTCCCAAAGCACTTCAAAGGCCGCTAAGCACATTTAGCGAGGAAGATACAGAAATAAACTGACCAAGAGCACCAGTTTTATCCAGTCGTCAGAGGCTGCCAACGAAGGAGATGCTGAGAGATGGAGGAGGCCAAGCCCGGGGTCACATAGGGGGCTACAATTGAAGCGGGGGGTGGGGAGGAGCATCCTGATTCCTCAAGGCTGGGGACCCGAGTTACCTGATGGTTTCTTCGTCTACCAGAGGCTAGAGGCCGTATCCCCACCAGAGACTACTTTGGGGTCGAGGTGGGGGTTGACAATTAAGGTTGATTTTTAGTTGTTGATTAAATCCAAATGATGCTGTGAATGACCATCTGTCAGAGAAGTGAGACTCAAGACCTCATGAGTCACTATTTCAAGTCCCCTTGAGCTTTTTATTTATTTCTCAATATTCTCGCCGACATGCTGTTGTAGTCTTGGGCAGCTAGGGATCCCGTGGTGCCCACCAAAACACAGCATCTGCAGCTGTTCTTTTCTCTGCCGGGGGTTCCCACTCTGTGGGTGGCTCTCTAGTCTCCCTGGAGGGGGCAGGCCCAGAATTTTGGAGCTGCCAGGGGTTTTAGCATCATCTAGCCTAGAAGGGTCCAAAAAATAGCTCTGTTTTTAGAGCTTTGCTAGTAGAGTGATGGACTATCAAAGGGGAAATCCATTCCTAGAACATTCTCATAATTAATGTCAGTGATCCCTGTGAATGCGTTTTATCTAGTGATCATCAGCACAAACAGATAGATCTTACATTTTTACAAAAGTCTGTGAGTCACTTTCAAAAATTGTATTTTACTGGATCACCACAGCAGCCAGATGAGCTTGGTTGACCAGATGTTATCATTTCCATTTCACAATTGAGAGACCCAAGACCCAAACATCGCTTACCTAAGGCTACAGGGCAGGTGATGCGGCCAGATCAGCTCACTGCACGACTGGTGCTCTTCTTGCTGCTGATGTTGCTTACCTGCCAGAGACACCCCTCCTCACCCCACCCCCACTCTCCTAATTCTGTATCCTTAGCAGCATGTCAGATATTAAAAACCCATCAGAATGGAATGTTCTATTAGCTTTTCTTTAATCAGTGTGATCAGTTAACCCTCACTATGCAGAGCCCTGTGGGCAGAGGAGTAGAAAAACATTATTTTTTGTGAACTTCCTGGAGTTTCACTAGTTTTCTGAATTAAGCATGTTTTAACTTTTAATTAAACAAAAAGCAACAAACAAGAAACAAAAAGGAAGAAAAAATTTAAAACATTTTTTATCCTTGAAAGAGTTTAAGGTCTAGCAAGGACATAAACTTGATATTCAAACAAGACAGAAGCACCTAAAAAATTAGCAAGTACAGAATATATCATTATGTAAGTTGTGTACAGATCTACTGAAGCAGTGTGAGCTCTGAGCCTGGTGGTTAATCATTGAAGGCTGCCTGGAAGAGGTGAGTTTGTAAGGTTTGGAAAGGGAAAGATGGCAGACGGGAGAGGGGAGAGCATTCCAGGCAAGGGTTGTGTGATCTACGCACTATATGAGGTACACACTGAGTAGAAGGTTCTAGATTCCAGAGAAGAGGCCCTCTCTTCCTGATCCACAGCTTGCTGTGTTAGCGGTAGAGCAGAGAAAGGCTTTAAAACTGTTGCATTCAATCTAAGTGATACCTGGTGTTAAGACGACAGGACTTTAATTCCCCCCTCAAACCATTGGTGGAGTTCTAGGACATTCTGAGTCCTTCTAAACTGTCATAAAAGATCCACTTGTTTTTCACCTGCATACATTTCCTTACCCTTAGGATTCCAGACCACACCTCTTTCTTATTGGCTGCATTGGAGTTAGTGGCAAGACGAAGTGGGATGTGCTCGATGGGGTGGTTAGACGGCTTTTCAAAGTAAGTGTTTCAAGAAGATGGCTACGGCAATACACCCGAAGGGGGGCCTGGACTTGGGGAGGGAGAGGGCGGTTTGAGTCCTGAACTGGACCACTTCTCAGGCGTTTGCCCACATCCTTATGTTGCCGGGACTCTTCCCCCAGCCCTCAAGGGAACAGAAGGAAGATGGTAAGTACAGACTGGTGATTGGCCAGTCTGTTCCCATCTGCCCTTGGCAGTGGTTGGCCAGCCAGCGAGAGTCATTGCCCCAGCCTTGATCATTTATTTCAGCCTCTCACTGTGACCTGCTAATGTCCAGATTCTCCCTTCGCCTCAGAATGTGTTTATTGAATATGCTTTGGAATGTGTGCTCTGTGGCTGGGGCTAAGAAATCAGAATTCCATCCTTGATTGTGGGGGGATTTGATCCAATTTGCCTGACATCCTTGCTAACACTGCAGAGTCTGTGATTTGTGCTACAAATGACATTAATAATCTGATCAGGGGCTGGCCCAGTGGCTTAGTGGTTAAGTTTGGTGTGCTCCACTTCAGCGGCCTGGGATTCATGGGTTCGGATCCCAGACGTGGACCTGTACCACTCATCAAGCCATGCTGTGGCGGCGACACACATACGAAAAGTAGAGGAAGATTGGCACAGGTGTTAGCTAAGGGTGAATCTTCCTCACCAAAAAAATTAAAATAATCTGATTAATGGCCAGTGTCAAGGATGTTGGCATAGTTATTTTTCTAGTTGTTCTAATGACATCATTGGAGTGAATGTTCCCACAGGAAAAATAACTTAGAGGTACCGAGTTGAACCTGAAACACAAGGTGGTTTGAAAGAAGCTTTTGGTACATTTTTTTTCTATTGACCTGAAGTCAGTCAATAACCATCAGTGTTCATTAATCATATCCCTGGAGTAGTAATAGCCCAAATTTTTTGTGCTAGAGACCATGCTAAGCTCTTTTCTTACATCACCCCAGTTTATTTCCAGGCCTATGGGGAAGATCCTGTTATTTTCCCATTTAAAGGTGAGGAAAGTGAGGCTCAGGTTGGGTCACTTGCCTACAGTCATGGATCTAGAACTGGACCATATTGGTCTAGTTGAGCTGGTCTGACTTCAAAACCTGGTTTGACTAGTACACTTTAGTCTCTTTCTAACATCTAGACTCAGGTGGCTTCACACAGAGAAAATTCTGTTCTTTGACCAAAGATCTGTCACCATCTTGACAGGCCCATCTGTAGAAATGTGACTAGGCAAGAGATGTGAATGGCTCAGGGCAGACCAGTCCTGCCGCCCAGGCCAAAACCTCACGTTTGCTGATGGGCAGTCAGCGTCCTAGGCTCAGAAAGACAATAGTTTGGGCTGAAAAGAGCCTGTGGGGCATCACAGGTGAGGCAATGAGACCATTAAAGGTAGAAGCTTGTTATGGGTCTCCACCTCAGTCATTATCCAGCCACCTCAGAGCCCACAGACTTTCGTCCCAAGTTCACTGACCTTAGACCTGTGGGTCATTCACCTAGGAGGGAACACTTTCCAAGTTAAACATACGTTTCCTGTTGAAAGATCAAGAGGTGCTTTTTTCTGGCAGCTCTAGATTTTGCTCCCTTTGTCATCAGTATGGTCTTTGAGCCAAAAGAAGGGGCTAGTGGAGAGATCTCTTGTCAGAATTACTTCTTTTCTTTTTTTTTTTTTTTTCCTGAGGAAGATTAGCCCTGAGCTAACATCTGCTGCCAATCCTCCTCTTTTTGCTGAGGAAGACTGGCCCTGAGCTAGCATCTGTGCCCATCTTCCTCTACTTTATATGTGGGACGCCTGCCACTGCATGGCTTGACAAGCAGTGGGTAGGTCTGCACCCGGGATCCAAACCATCAAACCCCCCAGGCTGCTGAAGCGGAACATGCAAACATAACTGCTGCACCACCGGGCTGGCCCCCAGAATTACTTCTTCATGAATTCTCCGGCAGCATTCACAGACCCGATATCTTCAGGACTTCAGTCGAACTTAGAAAAAGCAGCCTAACTTTCCATGCTGGGTTCATCCAGACTAAACGTTCACAGTCTTATTAGGGTTCCCCTCCTGGCTAACCAAATAAATCTGTATTTTAAGAGGGCTGTGATGCTCGGGCATCATCCCCATAGGAAGTCAGCTCTTCTTCCCCTCGTTCCACAGCTCAATTTCAACTCAGGCGTCAGCTGGGAAGGAAGAGAAGATGATCGTAAATCACCCAATGAAAACATGAGTCATGGGCAGATTTTTGGCCACATCTTTGATGGGGTCTTGCTTTTATTTTTTCCAGGAATACATCATTCACGTCGACCCGGTGAGTCAGCTCGGGCTGAACTCCGACAGCGTCCTGGGCTACAGCATTGGGGAGATCCGGCGCAGCACCGCCTCTGAGACCCCTGAGCTGCTTCCCTGTGGCTACCTGGTTGGAGAGAACACCACCATCTCTGTGACCGTCAAAGGTAACCCGGCGCTTACAGAGGCGGGAGCTCCCAGAAATGGCGGTCTCTGTTTGGGGACTTGGCATAGGAAGCCGTGGCCACGGTTTTGTTTGTGCATATGGTTGTGGATTGTTTGTTTTCCCTTGCACCAGTTATTCTTATCTAAGCAAGCTGAACAGTCTTTAGCTTTTGCAACCACCGTCGGAAACAAATAATTTTAGTTGATTGCTAAAATTATATAACAGCAGGTCCCATTAACCTTATGACTCTGAGATGATGGAATCTTAATAACCCTGTCGACATGGGGCTCTACCAGTACCAGTGAACTCTTCTTGCCAGGAGGCCTTGGACATGCTCCCGTTCCACAGCGGGGAAAACCACGATTTGCTGTGGGTTTGGAGGAGTTCGATGAAGCCGCTGAGGCCCCTGCCCACGCACGAGGCTGCAGGAGCTTCCATTGCCTCATTGCCCAGAGTTAAACCCCAGGCCACAGTGTGTCCCATGGAGCTCTAGGCCCACAAAGTATATTGTGGGGGGAAAAAAGTTTCATGGCCAAATAAGTCTGGGAAACTGCATCATGATCCCCATTTGGGTTTGGGGGCAGGATGACAGAAGTGTACTGGTGTGCTAACGGCTCTGACCTCTGCTGTTGTAACTCCTGCCATTAAAAAGGCTGTTTAATCCAGTCTGACACAAATGTATTTGCCTGCAAACCCCCTTTTCCTGTATTTTCTGAACCACCTGAAGGACGGACTAATAAACACTGTGCTGGGCTCGCCCTTCCCGTCGTCCCGTTTCCCCTGGAGGCACTGGTCTTGACTGTGGTTTACAGTGCCGTTTGGGGCTTTTTGGATGCAGATTTTGTTTCCTGGTTGGTAGGTTTTCCAGAAGCACCACTACGTTCCTCATCAGTAGGAATCGAGGCCTCGTGGTGGGCATCCGTTACTGCTCGAGCCTCACACATAGCTTTATCCTGCTGGCAAGTGCAATTCCATGGTTGTGGCCTCGGGCTGCAAGTGACAGAAACCTACTCAAAACAAGCGTTAGCGAAAAAGGAGGTGTAAAGGCTCACGTACCTGGAAGATCCAGGAAGACGCTCCAAACCCAGCTGACTCCAGGCGCTCCACCCGTGCCATCAGGACCAGGCCCATCAGCCTTGCTCAGCACTGCTTGCTTGTCCTTGAGCTCTCTGCACATGGCTGATGAAGGGGCCCTGGTAGCCCTCAGCCGTCTTTCCAGCTTAGGAACCTACAAGAAAGAGAATATCTTTCTGGAAAAGTGCGACAGAGAATTCTTAGAGGTGATTCTGGCCCACCGCAAGTCAAATGCTCATCGCTGAATCAGTCATTGGGACCAGGAAGAGGCTTTGGCCCAGCCTGGTCACAAGCCTACCCAGGGGGTGGGTGAAGGTGCTGGGTCAGCCCCACTGGAGCCACCTGGAATGAGCTGCCCGTAAGAAAGAATTTTCCTACGAGGGGGAGGAGGAAGGGGTACCAGGCACATTGAAACGACTCTCTACTCCGAGAAGCCTTTGAGGAGGGCCTTATACATCATTGACTCAGACTGCATTGCCTCCACGCTGGCAAGCGTGCCTTGTCACTTACAGGTGGGCATCACAAGCACCGAGGGGTACAAGGAGTGCCCTGTCGCTGAGACCACCCCAGCCCTCTGTGGAAACAGGGACGAGATTATCTGCCTCTGCTGGAGCAGGCCACCCCATCACGGAGCCTCATCTGCTGCTCTCTCAGCACATGGCGTTGTTTTACCATCTCGAGGGATCAGCGCGGGTTTATTTTTAAGTGATACCTAACTCTTCTCTTGTCCTATAGGGCTTGGAACTTAGGCTTTCAAGGCACTAAAACCACTCAAGATTCTGAGCGGAAAGAGATCCGCGAGCTGCAGATGATTCACTTCAGTGGTCCTGGGGGATGGGGTGTGACCACGTGCTCCGAAGTGAGGTCGTCCGCAAATCAGTCACTCCTGGGGGTCTTATGGCAAAAGACAGAAATGGCAACAGATATGCAGAGAGAGGTGCTTTAGTGTTTCCCCTGGTGCTGCTATTAAGTTAGACGTGAGACCCAGTGCTCCATGCTTTGCATCACGGTTTGAGCTGTGTAGGCCGTATCGAGCCCAGTAGAGGAAGGTCTCAGGCCTGTGTCCGGAAGAAAAGTCATTTGAGAACCTTCATCATGGTCATTCTGGAACAGTCACTGCATTTAGGAGCTATTCTTGCTTGGGGTGTGGGAGGGGCGGATCAGAAACAAGCATATAAATGCATTAGGTGGGTCTGTTTGCAGAAAATAATTATATGGAAGAAAGATGTTCTTATAAAACAGAATGAACACTCTCCAATTTATTTTTTACCTACCTGTACTGGTTTTCTTGAGATGAGTTTTTAACAGAGTTACCTTAGGTTCTGGACGTGTAACCCTGGATGGCTCTTTTCTGGGGAATGCTATCAAGAAAACAGCTCTTTGAAAGCCCACAGCCGTGACAGTGAAGTTGGTCCGGGCGAGAAGGGGGAAGGTGTTTCCTCGATATTGTTGAGGCTCCAAGTCTAACAGTACTCACATCCCAAATCAGATGGCCTCACCTTGCGTTCTTCCTCTCTCTAAAGATAAAGTGTTGATACCTTCATGGTACATCTGAGAGTGGGCAGCCGGGGCACCTGGAAGGTTCACCTTTGGTTTGAGCGAACACCATCTAAGGTGACTCCAGACAGAAAGCCGGCACCCAGAGTCTTAGGGATTCAGCAGAGGACAGACAAGGCCCGAGGGCCCAGATGGGAGAGGTGAATCAGAGTCTGGGAGAGCCAGCCAAGCCGGGGGCCAGAGCACATGGTGCTGATGCGTGGGAGCAGCGGCAGTTTGCTCTCAGCCTCCGGTGCACCTGGTGGGCAGGGGTCCCAGGTGGGCAGGCTCCGAGGAAAGGGTGGCCTCCGGTTTTGGCTGTCCTAGTCAGGCACAGATGGCTCCCCTTTCCACGGGCTTCCAACGCCCCCATCTCTCTGACACAGGGCTCGCGGAAAACAGCCTGGACGCGCTGGTGTTCGAGTCCCTGATCCCCAAGCCCATCCTGCAGCGCTACGTGTCCCTGCTGGTGGAGCACCGGCGCATCATCCTGTCCGGCCCCAGCGGCACCGGGAAGACCTACCTGGCCAACCGGCTGTCGGAGTACCTGGTGCTTCGGGAGGGCCGGGAGCTGACGGACGGGGTCATCGCCACCTTCAACGTGGACCACAAGTCCAGCAAGGTGAGGAGGCCACTGGGCAGCTGCTGCCTTTCGGAACTGTTGATGCCGCCACCGCCCTGATGGGAAAGCAGCATTTCCCACATGCTCTCCGCTGGTGTCTTTAAAAGCCCAGCGAAGGAGCTCAGGAAGGGCATAGCAGAAAGGACAGCTTTGACCCAAAGCTGCCTGGCAAGAAGTTCCATCTGTAAGTCAATCTAGTCCATTTCTTGCCTCCCCCCATGAGCTGGGCATGATGCTCAGTGCTAGGAGTTCCTTAGGATCACCTCAGATGTGCCATTTCAATTTACCAAGAATTTTTCATGAGCCTGCTGGATGCTATTGTTTTTCCAAAATGAAACCTCCTTTTGTGAGAAATAATAATAATAACAGCAGCTTGCATTTATAGACTGCTTGCCCTGTGAGCAGCAAATCGGCCGCCTCACAGCTCTACCTCCAAGAGAGTCGTTGCCACTATCCCATTTTACAGAGGGGGAGACTGAGACTTGAGGCAAATGGTCCTGTGCCATGGGCCAGAGCTCCAATCTAAGTCTTGGACTCCAGAGCCTGCCAGTGGGCTCGATCGTGCTTCACAGGGAGTGATGGAAAGTTTGGACAGTCTGACCTAGTCCCGGCCGAGGGTTGTGAAGTGTTTCCTCAGACCTGTGTGCTGTTCACGTGGTGGGAGTTGATGGATGACCTGCTCTGGCTGGCCCTGCGCAGTCACGGTGGATTGCAATGACTCCTCCCCCTTCAGAATCACCTGGTGTGTTTGAAGATGCTGATTCCCATTCCCTGATGATCTAGTTCAACAGGTTGGGGGGTGGGGAGCAGGAGTCTGTGTCATTCACTAGGTCCCCAAGTGACTGGTGTAGGGGCGGGACTAGAGAGAAGCGGTCAGAGCCTCTGGGTGAGGAAGCTAAGGGAGGCTCCCTCTCTTCTGGGACCAGGGAGAGAAGGACTCCAGGTGAGATTCCAGCCCCTGCTCACTCTCCTGGTCGGTCCCCCTTGTGCAGAGCACAGCTCCTCCACCGCACCCCGCAGGCCTGAGGAAGGGAGGCAGGCTCCCGGGCTCAGAAGCCACGAGTCCTGTCCTTGTCAGGTGTCCGAGGCCAAGAACCCACAATGGAAAGGAGTTAAAAGAAGGAGAAATTACTAGAAGTTGGGCATTTTCTATGCTAGCAAGTCACATTTTGACTTACTGGGAGGCCCGGGTGTGTGTGTTCGTAGGAAGCGGAGGAAAGGTTGCCCTCTGAGCAACCAGCCTGGCGTGCAGGACAGTCTGGTGTGGCGAGGAACATGTGCTGGGGCAGGCGGCACATCTGGGTCCAGCCCCACTGCTCACCCTCTGTGCCATCTCAGGCCACTCACCTGAGTTTGTGCCTCAGCTTCCCCACCTGTGAAATGGAGGTGGTCACAGTACCCACCACAGAGGGTCACTGTGGGCTGCAGAGGTTCGTCTGCATAAGGCCCTCAGAGTGTGCGTGGGCTGAGCCATGCTGGTTGCGTGACAATGAGATCATCGGGCAGTCATTCTGGGTTCCCTGGCCAGCCCTTAACTCACCGTTTCAGCCTGTCCCCGATTGCACCATTATTCTTCTTCTTCCTTTCCTGACACGCATCCATAACCCAGCCACCCTGGGCTGCATTCTGGCTCCAGCTCCAGCCAATCCCCACCTGTTCTTCACAGTTAAATTCAAAGCTTACCCTTCCAGCCAGACCCTGCGAGGCCCCTCGTGCATGTCGACCCCTCTCCCCTGCACTGTTGGTTGCCGGCCGCCCAGCACTCATCAGCTGTGCTTGTATGTGTGTTTGTGTGTGTGTGTTGGTGGGGGGAGGTCCTTTGCTATGTTAATTCATCCCGAGCTGCCATGTAAACTGCTCTCAGGCACATGCTCTGGAAGTCCAGAGATGTATAAGGTGCCTGCCCAGGGAGCCTATTGGGAGGTTGGCATAATAAGAAATATCAAGAAAAGTGACAACACTTGTAGAGAAGTGGCACAGCAGGGATATAGAACCGTGCCTACTGTGCTCTTGCCCAGGCTGAAGGTTTTCTATTATCCAGTGAATGCCAGGAAGCAGGACCCAGGCCTTCTGACCCCTGCCCACCTCGCATCTCCTGAGACCCAAACTGATGCCCTGTAGCAGGTGGTCACTCAGCACGTGTTCCCCACATGGCCTCCGGAACGGCCTTTCCTCCTACGTTGGCGGCTCAGCATGTTCATCTTCATCGGGGTGCGTTCACTCGCTTGTTCTTCCCTTGGCCCCACAGGAATTGCGCCAGTACCTGTCCAACCTCGCCGACCAGTGCGCCAGCGAGAACAACGCTGTGGACGTGCCCCTTGTCATCATCCTGGACAACCTGCATCACGTCGGCTCCCTGGGCGAGGTCTTCAACGGGCTGCTCAACTGCAAGGACCACAAATGGTAAGGGCAGACTCTGGACCCCCTGGCCCCGGGAGAACGGCTGCTATGGGACCGGTGCTGCGTGGGGAGCTGTGCACACCCATGGCAGGGTCGGCATCAGCGGGGGCAGGCAGCCGGCGTCTGCCCGGCCACACAGACTCCCCGGGCGTCTGTGAGCGCCTTCTCGAGCGTAGCTGAGACTCACAGTGTCTCTTCCCTCATTTCCCCACAGCCCGTACATCATCGGCACGATGAACCAGGCTACCTCGTCCACTCCCAACCTGCAGCTTCATCACAACTTCAGGTGAGGGGTCACTTGTTGGCGCCTGTTATATCCCAGGCATTGTGCTGAGCTTTTTTCCCAGCTTAGCTCATTTAATTCTCACAACAGCCTCAAGTAGGTAAACGTATCGTTCTCAGCTTACAAATGGGAGACTGAGGCTGGGAGAATTAAGTGACTCTTGTGAGGTCACACAGCCGGTCACTGGCAGAGCTGAGACTTGAACCCAGGTTTCTGAGTCCTGGGGAGGCAGTGTCGAGGAGGCAGCCTTGGGCAGGGCCTGGAGGCTCGCTTGCCTGCCCTGCTCATCACCAATGGCGCATTTCTCTGTTCCAAGTGAACCCCAGCCATGAAAGCTCTTGCTTATGAACCTCCCCATGAGGCTGGTTCTCCGGGCCTCTGCGCTCCAGCTGCTGTGAGCCCTCTGGGCCAGCATGGGGCTGGGGCTGTCCCACTGCTGGGTGTGGGAAAGACTGTGCAACACTGTCTTGCTAAGTTGTGTGGCCACTTGCCTGGCCATCACTAAATGCCCTTTGCTCTGCCCTGATTCCCGGCTGACTCCTCCACTCCTCCTCTCCCGCCTGGGCCCTTAGATGAGGGTGAGAAGCCATTTCCTGGGGTGGGATCCCCTGTCATTTTCACTGGCCACTCTGCAGGCACCTCTGAGGGAGAGCTACTGAAAGTGGACCTGAATTGTAATTATCAGGGAAATGTCAACTCCTCCAGGCCACTGGGATCATGCAGGCTACATCGTGCTATCTCTGCATGCATGCTGTCCCAGCCTTGTCCATGCCTTCTCCTGAATATCCCTCAAGTCCTCCTTTCTCCTCCTTCGTCCTTGTTCACTGCCACATCACCTCCCAGCACACTGCTGCAATCATTTTCTCACCACTCTGCCTGCCTGCAGCTTGGCCCGCATGCAGGCCATCCTCTGTGCCGGTGGCAGCCAGCGTGAGTATTCTAGAATTCAGCTATGACCGTAACACCTTCATGCTTCCAGTACTTCAGTGGCCTCCAGAATGAAATCCAGGCTCCTTGGGTTGGCAGGTCAAGTCTAAACTCTGGTTACACTGACGCTCTGGCGGTTTCCCCAAACACTCCACGCTATTTCTCCTGCCTGCTCAATTGCTGCCAATTGCTCTGCACCCACCCACCCCCCATCCCCCGCAGCCCCTGCTCCTGCCTTTCCTTATGTGGCTGCTCCATCGCTCCCCTCTAGTCTCAGCTCAGACGTCCCCTCCTCTGAGGAGCCTTCCCCAACTGCCCAGGCTTTGTCATGTCTCATTTCTCTGCTTGCTGGTCTGCTTCTTCCACTAGACTCTGAGGTCTTGGGGACCAGAGACTGTGTCTTAGTTCTTGTTAGAGCTCTGTGGCCCAGTACAGGGCCTGGCGCAAGCACAAGAGGCAGTTAGCCCAGTGGTTAGAGCTCAGGCTCTGGAGCTGGACTATCTTGGTTCTAAGCTCTTCTGTTAACTGGCTGTTTGATCTTGGACAAGTTACATAACCTGTCTGTGCCTCAGTGCTTCTATCTGTAAAATGGGGGTGGCGATCATATTTATGTCACAGGGTTGCCATGAGGAATCAGGAGTTAATGTCTGTGCAGTGTTCAGAATAGTGTTGGCACATGGTGAGTCCAGCTTTAGGATTAGCATACATACCTTCCAGTTCCCGTCTGCTTTGATTTGAGAGGTTGCCCACCATTTTCATCCCCATCATCATCACTGAAAAGCATTCCCGGCTTCCTCCAGGTGGGTGCTCTGTGCCAACCACACGGAGCCTGTGAAGGGTTTCCTTGGCCGGTTCCTGAGGCGGAAGCTCATGGAAACAGAGATCAGTGGGCGGGTGCGCAATGTGGAGCTGGTAAAAATCATCGACTGGATTCCCAAGGTCTGGCATCACCTCAACCGCTTCCTGGAGGCACACAGCTCCTCGGACGTCACCATAGGTAGGTGGGAGGCCAGGTGGCAGCTGGCAGGCAGGTGGGGCGGGAGGCAGAGGGGGGATGCTGCTCCTGGAGCTCTGGCCTCCTCGGATCACTCTCCTCAGGGTCCTGACCAGGACAGCACTTTGCAGGCACAAGTCAACTTGTTGCTGCACTGTCCATACGGATAGAGAAGGGGTCAGGGGGATGGCCCAAGAGAGGCCCCAGACCGCCAGTCACTCAGTTCGGGGGCTGTGTCTCTGCCCTTCTCCCCTGCCTGGTGCACTGGTGCTGGTCAGCAGCAGAGAGTTGTGGCTGGCCTGGGCTGACGCAGAAACTGCCAGCTCAGTGAGGAGCCCCCATCCCAAGGCTCCCCCAGGTGAAAACAACTCTGCCAGATTGGCTCTGCTTTCAAAATAAAATCTGATCAACATGCCTGAAGCTTTGGGTTCAGAGGAAAATGGGTCACTGATCACCCCACCCTCCTGGCGTCCTCATTTTAGTTTGAGCTTCTGTTCCTGTCCTTGTGCAGACGCACATACATGTTTTATGAGTTCAGTCATGGTGTGCACACAGGATGTGCTGTTCTTTCTCATCTCGTGTTGTCTCGTGAGCATTCTGTGTGGATGCTTGTTTTTTATAATTCTTTTTAAAGACTGCAAGGTAATCAAATCATCATTTCCTTAACCATCTCTGTTCTTTCCGACATTGAGTGTGCTTCCGTTTTCAGGATTCATGATACTGCAATGAGCCCCTTTCTCCATAAAGCCTCTCCTCTCTTTTGGGTGATTTCCTGGAGGAGAGATGTCCCGGGTGGTGTTAGGTAGCCCAGGCGTCCTGCTCTGTGTCCTCCACTCGCAGCTGGTATTCCTCCTGTTGCTTAGAAAATCCAGGGGCCCTGCTGTGAGGGATGCAGACTGGCTTCTCCTGACCCCCCATTTCGGCTCTGACTGACTTTCACTGTGGTCCCCAGGCCCCCGGCTCTTCCTGTCGTGCCCCATCGACGTGGATGGCTCCAGGGTGTGGTTCACTGACTTGTGGAACTACTCCATCATCCCCTATCTCCTGGAAGCCGTCAGAGAAGGACTCCAGGTGAGGAGCACACTGACCACTGGCCTCCTCAAAGTTGGGGGGATGGTTGGGGCTGGCCTGGTAGCACAGCAGTTAAGCTCACATGCTCTTGCTTTGGCAGCCCAGGGTTTGCTGGTTCGGATCCTGGGCACGGACTTACACATGCTCATCAAGCCATGCTGTGGCAGGCGTCCCACATATAGAACAGAGGAAGATGGGCGCAGATGTTAGCTCAGGGCTAATCTTCCTCAGCAAAAAGAGGAGGGTTGGTGGTGGATGTTAGCTCAAGGCTAATCTTCCTCAAAAAAACAAAATGTTGGGAGGACTGTTTTGGTGACCAGATGAGTTGTCTTTATCTCCTCCTTCAGAAATCTGCCTGAAATGGGGTAACAGCCTCTCACCTGTGAGGCCATCACTCTAGCACAGTGTAGGACATGGTTGGCTGCAAATCCTGGCTTGGCCACTGTTGGCTGTGTGACCCCAGACAAGTCATTTAGCCTGTCTGTGCCAAAGTGCCCTCATTGGTAGAAGAGATTAGTAATAATACTCTGCCACAGAGTTGTTGCAAGGGTTAAACATAATCAGAAGTGCTCGGCATAGTGAGCGCATAAGAAATGGAAGTGTACTGGGGCGGATCACTTCACAGTTTGCAAAATATTCTCATGTCTGCTATTTGGTTCAAGCCTTGCCTCAGTCCTGGCACCTGGACAGAGACTTTTTTTTTTGTCTCTATCTTTCAAAAGAGGAAAATTGAGGCTGAAAGAGAATATATGACTTGCCCAAGGTCATAAAAGTGAATCTTGAGGCATCTGGGATGTGAGTCCAGCCTCTGGCTCCACTTCCAAGTCTGAGCCCTGGGGCCGTGGCACTCACCACCTGCCACCAGGCCCCTCACTGGTGACCCTGGGGCCCCTGAGGCTTAGGTCCCTCCTGCCGCGCAGCAGCTGGAAAGTACAACTCTTCCCTTCTCATCCAGCCCAGAGTAACCAAGCCAGGGGCTTAGCGGTAAATAGGGTCTTGCGGCGGTTTTACTGTTGAGCCTGGAGCAGCCTGAGCAGTGCATGGACTCCCAGCACCCACACTGATCAGCAGACGTTGTGCACGGTTGAACATCCAGAAGCCAGTCTAGCAGCCAGCTGTCCGAGAGCTTCTTTGTCTCCTTGGTCCCGCGCAAGGGAAGATGCGAGATGCTGTTGTAGGCCTGTGGAGGGTGGGAGAGGGCACGCCCACGTGTACATGTGTGATAGTGCCCATTAATGGCTTTGGTCGGTGTTTGTCGTTTCTGTCCATTTGGCTGAGCCTGGTGAATACTTGGCTGCTTTGTACCATGTTGCAGCACTGATGGTCTGCAGAGGCGGTCGGACCAAGGACTTGACAAGGAAGGTGTTGTACCTCTTACAACTGGTGTTTCATTGAACTGGAGCATGTAGGCTGCAAATTCAAGCCACCATGTGGAAACATAAGTGTATTGTGAGGGCAGAGCACGTAGCAAGAAATGAGGCAGTCCCTTGACCAGCCCCAAATCATTAGTTGGCAGTGTCTGAAGATCATTAATCGATGGGAGCATTTCCATTCTCTCTAGTGAATGTGGCTTTCAGAAAAAAAAACTCAGAAAGGTTTCAGATCTCAGCAGTGGAATCTCCCTCGGTAGATGAATTTCCTCGCCTGGGTAAATTGACCATAATTTAGTCTTTTAGCAAATGGATTTCTTAGTACCGCAAACCCCAACAGCCACCCAGTCGTTCCTATTTTCTCAGGCCAATGGTAGCATCTCTCCCTGCTGGATTGTTGCAGTCTGTTTCCTTGCAGAAGCTGCGCCCCTCTGTTCTCCATCAGTGGCTTCCCAGGACTGTGGAATACCCAGCACCCCGGGGAAACTCATGCTGCTCAAAAGCAGCCGAAGGAATTGCGGGTGGAAGAGGCGCACTGTTTCCTCATCATTCTGCCTTGCCTCTGCAGTCTCCCACGTGCTTCTTTGCTCCAAATATATCTTCTGGTGAAGGACAGGGAGGAACAGGAGAGTATGCGTGGAAAGACTCACGGGCTCCTTTGAATAAGGGTTTCCCCTGCCCAAGGAGGCACTCTGGGGAGGGGAAGACTGTCTGTGCTCCAGCCTCAAGCTACACGTCAGCAGGCGCATGGGTCCTCACCAAGGATGGACAGCGCTGGCATCCTAAACTTCACAAGGGCCTGTGGGCATGGCTCTGAAAGGGGGTCTGAACCCCGCTTCACGTCCTGTAGAGGTTGCTGATGGAGTTCATTGTGAAGGAGCTTCTTTCCCACAAGAGCGAGGCCACAGTTTGAAAAGACTTGAGGATGGCTGTGGAACAGCCCCTCTGGGGCAGGGGACAGGGACGTGCCCCAGTCTCATGAGACGTACCAGTTCCGTGTGAGGCAGGAACAGGCATTGCTTCCTGGTGCTGCCAGGTCTTTTAAGGCTAATTTTTCAAGAGCACGGGAGCCGCCAGGGGAGGCAGCCAGAGTTAGCATTTTACTAGGTTGCTTAAAAGTGAGCCCCCCAGTCTCAAATCTGTGACCTCATCGTCCTGATGAGCCCAGGAGGCCCCAGAGAATCTGCTGATTCATGAGGAAAGCTGGTGTGTTCTTCGTGCCTCTGGTTTTGAAGGGAAGTTTGCTGACTTTTATTGGGGGCCTGCTCCTCACCAGCGCCGTGCGGGGGGCCTGACACGCATTGTCGCGTTCAGTTCTGATAGCTCGGTGTGCACCTGGTGGACGAAGGGACCAAGGCTCACAGGAGGTTTGACCCCTCCCAAGTTCACTCAGCGGGGTGTGATGAGCTGGCGTCGGTGCCCGGGTCTAGCTGACTCCTCAGTTACTTCTGTGAATCTCAGGCTGTCCTGAGGACCCCATGTCTCCACCTAGAAGCCTCAGGTGGCTCAGGGAACCAACACTTGTCTTTCATATAGTGGACTTCTACATAGGATTTCAGTTGACAAGATGATTCCTGTATTTAAGATCCTCTGCTCTCCTTCCTCTTACTTTGAGTCCATGCCTACTGTGTGCTGGGCCCTGTGCAGGGTCATTTACTCCTTGCCTGACCCCGTGAGGTGAGTGGTGTGGCCATGAGGGGAGCACGCTGCGGTTCAGAGCAGGCAAGCCCTTGGCCAAGGTTCTAAGCTGAGAAGAGGCGGAGCCCGCAGAATGGCCTCTGATGGGGCTGCCTGTGGGGGTGGGCAACACAGAGACCCTGCTGCCATCAGCCCTCAGAGGTGCATCCTTGCCTTAAGGAAGCGTGGCATTGCCCCCTAGTGGGTACCAGATACCTTTGCAAGTTTTGAGTCTTCCCAGTAAGATTAGAGGGGGTACGTGTGTATATAAGGACCTTGATGCCTCCATGTGTGACATACATGTGCATCCTGCAGAGTCTGAAGCCTCACAGTGGCCCAGGTTTTGGTTTCCAGTGTCTTGGCCCCGTGTTCCTGATCCAGTGGTCATACCAGGCTCCTCCTGGCTGGCTGGCTGGCTGGCTGGCTGGCTGGCTGGCTGGCTGGCTTGCTGGCTGGCTGCCCGCCTGCCCGCCTGCCCAGAGCTGCCTCACGGCTCTGCAGTGGGGCCAGGGAGCTTTGTGATGTTTCCTTTGCTCACCACAGTCCTTACCCAGCCTCTCATCACCTGCACTTGAATGTGTCCGGCAGCAAGCGGGAGGCTCGTAAAAGTACTTTCTGTTCTCGCAGGTGATATTGGCATGTGCCTGGTGTACGTTTGTCTTATGACTCAGTCCCCAGGCCTGTTCCCCTCAGAGCTGCTGTTGTAAACAGTTGCCAAAGTGTCTCAAGTCTGCAGCGGAACTCGGAAGGCTCCTGTCCCCCTGGTGGACAGATTACCCCACCTACTCTGAGACCCTGGGCGAGTCTCCCCTCCCTAGGCCTCAGGTTCCCCATCTGTAGTCTGACGTTTCAACTAGAAGCCCGTTTTATCAAGCTGGCTTCTGTGGAGCCCCAAAGTTCCTCAAACTACTCAGTGGTGGGGTCTGGAGAGAAGAGCAAATATCTGGAAACCCCTGGGCCAGCTTCTCTCCAAGGACTTGATGAGCTCTGAGTTCCGGCCTCGGTTATTCTGCAGCCCTGAGCATCCCCTCCTCCAGGTGGAGGATGGAGACAGAAGCAGTAGCTGTCAGAAATGAGGGCTCAGTTCAGCCTCACATGCATGAGGTCTGGCTTGGGATAGGCAGCTCCATTCCGTCAGGAATTCCCTTGGAGGGAGAAGCTTCTCAAAGTTGCAGGAATGTTTCTAATCTGGAACAGGCCTCTTCAGTTCTAAGTGTCCCCACATGCTTGTGTTCCCCTCCTCCCTGGCACGTACCTACACATGATCCCTTCCTGCTCAGACTGTGACATGCCTTCAGAATGCCAGACTGCATTCTCCGACCTGAGACTCACCGCCGCCCCAGGTTGGGGAAGATTTAGTAACAGACAGAGGCAGAGCGCTAGACAGGAGGGGTGCTGGTGTCTGAGAAAGCGATGAGGTCATGGGAGGCTGTGTACGTCTTGAGTGGAGGGGAGGCAGCCTCAGTGGAGGGAGTTGGGTGGGCCCATCTGCAGAGTGGGCAGGGGGGCAGCTTCCCTGATGAAAGTCTATGTAGCTTAGGCAGTCATGAGACCGCTGGAGGGGACAGCAAAGCCAGCCTGGGTTGACGTGTCCTCGTCTGGAGGGCAACCTGGTCTGCGTCTCCCTGCTCCAGTTCCGGCTGAGTCCTGTGGCTCTTGCTGGTACCGGGTGGTTCAGAGCAGACTCAGGAGGGGGAGAGAGGAAAGGTCAGACAAGGAAATTGGGATCCTAGTGTGAATCCAGCTCTGCTCTCATTCTAGTTCCAATCTAGCTCTTTTCCCACTGGCTCTTCTCTTTAGGTCCTAACTTTCCCATCTGGTAGATGAAAGGGCTGGGATAGGTGACCCCACTTCCTTTGAGCTGAGGCAGCCTGTGACTTGGAAAGACGTGGTTTCATCAGTTGTTGCTCAGCCCTGTTCTACATCAGCATCTTGCCCTCACTCCCTGCTCAGCTGCAGGAGTCCCAGGAGGGCAGAGGGAGCTGACAGACAGACAGTCGGTGGGCCAGATGTCATTTTACTGTAGAAGCCCCCTGCAGCCACTGTGGTTCAGGAGTTTTTGGTCTTGGTACCCCGTGGTCCCCGGTGGAGGGGGTGCCTCCCAGAGCCACAGCCGGCACTGCCCTTGGGTCATGTCTCGGCCTGGCTGTGAGCACTTCCCACCACACATGCTCAGACCCCAGCGGGGTGTGGGATTCCAGTTCTACCTCGTCTCGTCCCTGCGCCTATCTTCTCTTCTGAGAAACTCGGGGAGCAATGCTTCTCGGAATCACTGCTTCTCACGTCCCCGGCGCACAGTGAGCTGTCAGGTGTGGCAGCAGTGGCGGCGTTAGAGGGGAAAGAGAGAGAGACTCTGCCCCGCCACGTAATGCGCAGAGCCTCGCCATGGGGAGTGGGGCAGCCTGGGTTTTCATTCTTTAAAGAACGTGCGTATTTCTAGAACTTGCCAGTAAGATTCACTAAAATCATTTTATCATTACATATTTAAGGCTTAAGAAAAGGAGCTTGGAGGCCTGGCACTGGTCTTATCAAATTAAGTGATAAAATAGTTTTCTGTTTTAAGAGCAAATTACTTATTAAGGGCAATTTTGAGAAATACGTGAGGGAGGAGAAGCACTCCCCACATGTAACCTCTGGTAACAATTTGCCGTTTTAAGTAACCAGTGCTTCTAGAGAGGGGCTCTGAGAGTCAGACCCGCGTCAAGAAATGGGGTTTTGTGGGACTAGGACCATTTGTGATGCCCAGCACCCGATCTGTGTGCTGTGGGCGGGAGCACCCGGTGGGATACTAGAGTCCGCTCGTGTGAGCTGATAGTCAGCACCTCTTCCCAACTCGGCATCCGTGACGTCATGGGGATAGTTTCCAATCGGCCCTGGTGGGAGTAGTTACACCGCAGGAACTGGCAAATGCTTCAAATCAGGGGTTGTGTGTCGAGCTGGATCAGCAAGGCTCAGAGTTCAGGGTGACACAGTGAGTCAGTGGCAGAGCTGAGGTGGGAACCTAGGTCAGCCTGACTCCAGAGCCGGAGTCCTGACCCTCAGCTCATGCTGCCCTCCGTCTTGGCACATCAGGCTGTGTGTGCCTTGGATGACTTCTTTCCCAGCATGGGGTTCTGGAAGTGAAATGACTCTGTCGGGGGACTCGTAATGCTGGGTTTGGGGAGTTTTTCAGAAGGCTGCAAAATCAGGGCTGCAGTAGAGGTCTCAGCCCACTTTCTGAGTATTCTTGCTCTTCCTGTTTTCAGCTCTATGGGAGGCGGGCCCCCTGGGAGGATCCCGCCAAGTGGGTGATGGACACCTACCCTTGGGCAGCCAGCCCACAGCAGCACGAGTGGCCTCCCCTGCTGCAGCTCCGGCCTGAGGATGTCGGCTTTGATGGCTACTCCATGCCTCGGGAAGGGTCAACGAGCAAGCAGATGCCCCCCAGCGATGCTGAAGGAGACCCGCTGGTGAGTTCTCAGCTCCCAGAGCAGTTCAGCTTTCATTAAGCGCCTACTGTATAGTGATGCAAGGCACGCTGGAAATAGGGAGGTGACTGAGCCCTGGCCTTGCTTTGGAAGGCTGGACCCATCACATGCTTGGGGACTTTTTTACCAATATATTCTCCCATGGTTCTAGTTTTTCACTAAAGCCTTTAAACCCTCTGAAATTTGTCGTAGTATAAGGGAAAGGTTAGGAATTTTATTTTTTCCCCTATGTGTCCCCACACCTATTGTCCCTACACCCCTCTTTGCCCTCTGATCTGGGTGCCACCTTGATCAGGTGCTGTCCTGGTCCACTGAGCTCTCCACTAGCAACAGAGCAGAGACAGAGCTTGCTAAGGAGCAGACACCCACGCCAAATGACCAGGGCACAGGCTGGGGAGGCTCGAGAGCACAAGGGACTCACGGAGGCCAGGGCGACCTGAACGTGGGTCCCACGGCCAGCGAGATGAGTCTCTCATGCTGCCTGAGCTTCCTGGTCACTCCGCTGTTGCTAAAGCAGCAAAGGCCCTTTCGGGGGGACCTGGGCCAGTGACGCTAACACTGCAGTCATAGAACTGCCAACATGAGGCCCGTTCATAGTCATACCGCAAAATTAGACCTAATCAATCACGGCCCTGTAAGAGAGGGCGGAAGCACGTAGACCAGAACCTCCCGTGGTTAATGGACCATTATCGTGCCTTAAGTTTAGGCCTGAGCTCCCTTGGCAACTAAAGCAAAAGGAAAAACACAGCAGAGAATATTACTTGCATTACCTAATGAAAGAACATCTTCATAAGAGATGCAGCAGGATTCACTGACAACTGATTTGCTGTCCTAGCCCTAGTGACTCATTGATTTGCTAGATGAAAAATAATAATAATAGGTGCTCTGGGCTGTCTGCCATCCTCCTGGCTGGTGCGCTGGAGCTGGGTCCTATTGGGGCTTTTTGAACAGAAGCTATTTTTAAATGCATTTGTTGTTTGTGTTCCTCTGCACAACCTGATTTGCAGCGTCTACAGCAGCAGTTTTACAGAGGAAAGGATTAAACTGTAAAAAGCCATTTCTAACACTAACCGTGGCTAAAAGCCAAAGTCATGGGGTGCAGGCTCATGAGGTCTTAACTTACATCAAAATAGAATTTAGGATATCCAGAGGAGGAATGGCCAGCTCATCCCCAGACACTCTCTTCTTAACCAGGAATATTTGAGTCACTCAATAAACACAGAAGGCGTTTAGATAAGACCTGGGGTTCTCGGAACAGTTACATAGGATTCTCCTTCCAACCCCAGGCCCCCAGAAAGAAGCGAGCTGTGCCAGCCCCACAAACCCTACTTACCAAGTTAGCTATTTGGTGTTTCTCCTGAGTCCCCTTCTCTCAGGCCAGGGCCACAGGTCTCTGTTGTAATAGCTCTCTCGTTTGCTAGTCTGTCCCCATCATGGGACTGAGAGCTCCAAGAGGACAGGACCTACTTGTTTTTGTTCCAGATTGTGTAGTATGGGCACACTGGGAATGTTTGATGAGTGAATAAATAATCCTGGCTGTCAAGGATTTTCCATTGTACTTCAGCCCCACCTCTTCCCCAGGTACAGCTGTGCAGATGGGCAGCCGCTGATGGTGCCTCTGTGGCCTGGCTCCCGCAGGGAGACTCTGCTGGGCATCCTGAGGGGCAGCTGGCCAGGGCGCAGCCGGATTTCACACCCAGCTGCACCATGTCTTAGCCTTAGCTCAGAAAGACCCTATCTTCCTAGCTTACTTACCAGATAAAATATAAAATACTTATACAACTTAAAGTTATAAATAAAATAAAAGTAGCTTTTAGTTTCCCATCTCCACTTTGAAAAAATGACTAATGGACCGTAGACCAGGGAAGAATCAAGGGCACCATCTTCAGACTCTTTTCATTACATCAGATGATGAGGATGATGATAGCAGATCACCTCTATTGAGCACTTTCTCTGTGCCCGGCCCTGTTCTGAGGGCCTGATACACATCCTGTCATTCTGTTCTTACTTCATCCCTAAGAGATGTTCTTCATCCCTCTGCTGCTGTTCTCTCTCCATCCTGTAGATGGAGAGCTGGCGGCTCAGATAGGTTAGGTAATTTGCCCAAAGGTTCCTGAATTGGAATCCACGAGGCCTCTCTGGGGCTCTGCTTATAGCTGTGCTGCCGTTCCCCTCCTTGGGAAGGTTTGACAGGAGCTGGAGCCCAGGGGCTCCAGGCTGCCCTCTGGCCAGAGCTGGGTTTGCTTGATGCTCATCGAAAGGGGAGCATGCGCTTCGGATGTCAGCCGTGCTGATGCATGGGTTCCAGGAGCGGGGACACCCACCTAGCACCTTAACCCAGGCTGAGGGCATGCTTGAGGAAGGTGTGCCCCTCCCAGATAAAAATAAATACCATATTGGTAGAGGAATTTCTATGCTGTTTTCAGCGCTCTGCATATATTGACTCAATCCACACAGAATGTAGCGAAAATACGATTATCATTCATATGTGACCCGTGAGGAAACTGAGGCACGAAAAGGTTAAGTAACTTGTCCAAAGTCATGCAGCTAGTAAGTGATGGAGCCAGGATTTGAGCCCTGGAAGCCTAGCCCAGAGTCCATGCTGTGGTCCACTGCCCCACGGCAGGGCCACAGTCCCAGGTGAGCCTCCAGGAGGCAGAGATGGGCGGCTGGCGGGACTGAACGCTGCTCATCCTGTCCACTCTTTCCCCAGATGAACATGCTGATGAGGCTGCAGGAGGCAGCCAACTACTCCAGCCCCCAGAGCTACGACAGCGACTCCAACAGCAACAGCCATCACGACGACATCCTGGACTCGTCCCTGGAGTCTACGCTGTGACAGGGGCCCGGCCGTGGAGCCGGCCCACCTCCTCCCCTCCTCACCCGGCTCCACCTCGATCCTCTGCACCATCCTGAAGATGCCCTCCTGAGCCAGCCCCCGGCCGCAGCCTGAAAGCTGCAAGGGACCCCAAGACCCCTCGTCCTGCAGCCTTGACCTAGGTGCAGCATCCCGGGCCAGCCGCTCTGGACCACGTCCTTCCACAGTGAGAACTGCACTATCGTCTGTTTTGTTTTCGTTGTTGTTTTGCCTTGTTGCTGTGACCTCCCTAAGACACTGAAGATACTTCTCGGGAAAGGATCATCACCACTGAAACAAAAAGAATTAAAAAAAAAGACCCCACCTGAAACTTGGAACCAAGCAGTATCCTGTCATGAGCTGCCCAGAGACAGAAGGGGCTGGAGTGCAGGTGGAAACGTAGACAGCACGGCTTCCCCTCAGCACAGACCCTCCAGACCAGCTCTGCCGCCAGCACGCCCACTTCCACACCAACCCGCCTGTCCACCCAGCCGGCCACAGACTGAACTGGTGCTAGCTAGGACACTTGCTTTGGTCACTCAACAAACCACAGAGCTACAGTGCAGGGAAACCTTAGGAAAAAGCAAATCGTGCTCTCTGTTCTGTTTTTAAATGGTGCTCTCCTTGCCCGAGAGGTATTTTGCCTGTTCCAGTCCAACCACACCTTTCAGATCCGTCAGCCTCCGATGAACCCACGAGAGTTAGTGTGGGGTCGTGCGAATGTGTGCGAGCGGATGTGGCTGCCATGCAGAATGGCCTGTGTCTGTTTCCTTCTTAGAGACAAGTGAATCAGGTTTCCTTTCTGACAACACTGTGTGCCGTGAGAATTGGTCTGCTCTGGAGAACTGATCACCCCTTTGAAAATGAGGTTGAGTTTCTCCCTTTCGGACTGTTTGATTTTGAAGATCCTTCTCCTTCCCCTCTTGGTCGGAATCGATCCTTTGGTGAAAGTGAGAACCACAGGAGTGGAGTTTCGGTTTGGTCCTGCTGAGTTTGGGTTTTCAGTTGTCCACCCTCACAGTTCTGCACGCTCACCTCCTCCCCCTGGGGTTGGGGGTGGTTGCGTCCGTAACGTGGACCAGGACCCCATCCCCAACACGCGGGTAAGCCCACCTTGCCTTTCCTTCTCGTCCTCGAGGCTTCAGAACGTGCGTCGACACCTCGAGCGCCAGCCCCAACCTCAGCCGGGGTGGGGAGGTCACCTCGTGAAACATTTGCACTTTCCTCAGAACCAACGGGACGCAATTCAACACGGGGGGGCAGCCGCTCCCTTCCAGAAGCCCCAGCCCTGGCCTCTGTCCGGACGAGCCTTGCCTGACCTCTTTGGTGCTGACCTTCCCAAAGCGATGCCTTACTGGTTTTGTACTAACCGTGTCCATTTATGAGTGTCGTGCCTGCCTGGGGTCCGTTTTTTTGTTTCCCCCTCAGAGCAAACAGGGCTAAGAAGTCATCTACTCCTTAGAAGAACTCAAGTCGCTGTGACTTTTCTCATCCAGTAGACTCGTTTGTGTGGATGCGTGACTATGGGAAAAAAAAAAAAGATCCATTTTTTAGGTTCTTATCAGCCTGCAGCTAACACCCTGACTGGACAACGATCTGTCTTGTGCAGGAAAAGGCAGAAGTTCCTACAAGTCTACGTAACATTGCTGAGACATGCCTGCTCGTGTGTGTCTTCAACATGCTGGTTATTTTCTTTACAGGGTGTGGTAAATCTTTGAGTTGTTTGTTTCTGTCTTATAAAGAGAATCTTTATTGGACCCCAGTGGGGGTGTCTCTGTTAACGATCAGGGTTTTTATTGCATCTTTTACATTTCTATTTCTGAAGATCCATCTCTCTGCATTTTTTTCTTACTTTCTTCCCACAAGAGCTTGACCTGAAACTGCTCACATTACGTTGGATGACACCGTTTTCTTCCTGGAAAGGAAAAGGGGAATGTGTCCCGCTAGCTGGGGAATGGAAAACCTCTCGTCCTGTCTCTGCTTTAATCTCAGTGGACTCAACCCCCTGCCGAGCCTTCCTTAGTCATCTGGGTGTGTGAGTGTGGCTTGTTCTGTTCTGTTTTTCATAACGTTTTTGATCCATATATTTAGCCTGTGACCACGGGCCACACCCTGAGCCTTCTGGTAAACCTGAAGAGTGGTCCTTCTCAATTTATCTCCCAGCGATGACCTTACACGCTCATACTGTGAATTTGGGAGGAGGTAAAATTGACTTCTCCTCTTGGGCAGTTTTCCCAGCCACCTGGTGAGTAGACACCTGCAGTATTGTTCACAACTTTTTTTTTTTTTACGACACCCTCTCTTCACTTTCTCTTCTCCCCTCTCCCACAGACTTCCCTCCCACTGGGTCCAGGGCAGAACCGAGACCTCTGTCCCTGGTGCTGCCCGACTGGCGACCGGTGACTTTAAGTAGTGTAACCCTTGTATGATTCACAGCTCGGTGTCCTTCCTACAGTTTCGGGAAGCAGGGTTGTCTGACATGCACATTTCTTATTTTGGTCCTCTTCTACTTCAGTGTCACTCACCTTTGACAAAGTGACTTTCTACTCATTTAGGGCTCTGTCCGAAATGCTTCCATTTTGCCTTTTTTTACATTTAGGCGAATTTTGAAATATATGAAATTCTATGCAACATTTATGTTGAGTTACCAATGGAAGCCAAAAGTTTTCTTCCCAAACTGCCAAGAATTATACGGGCCATAAATGAGATGGGGGTACCGTTTAATTTAAGGGGGGGCGGGGTAGGGGTGGGACAGGAACAAGAACAAGATTTGCCTAGACCTTTGTGGTATCTTGGGGATGTTTTTTATTTTACTGTTGATGCTTAAATTTCAAAATTCTGTGTATTCAAATTTGATCGTGGCGAATCTACTTCAAAAGAAAAAAATAATCTGACTTTGTGGATACTAAATGGAAGGTTTGCTGTTTTGAGCTAGTTGTTTCCAGTGGAGCAGTTTATGAAATATGTTCTATAAGATGTACATTTTTTCATTGTAACATAGAAATTGTAAATAATTGATTAAAGTGCTGCATTTTGATGAATTTTTTCTAGCCATTTTTAAAGAGAAAACTAGGAATTGAGTATTTTGTGTACGGTATGTTTCCATCTTCCCTCCCTGCCTTTGGCCCTCCCCCCACCACCTTCTGCCTTCCGCCCCCCTCCCTACCTTCCTCCCTCCCCCACCTCCCCACACCCCCCCCCCAGCCTTCCTCCCCTCCCCCTCCTTCTTCCTCCCTCCCCCCCTCCTTCCCTATTTAATTTTCATTTGTCCTGAGGTTTTTGGATTTGCCAACGATCTGCTGGAGATCATGCCCCACGTCATAGAGAATAAAGCTGATGATTGTACCAGTCTTAAATTATTCATGATTCAATAAAATTTATGCTTATTTATTCAGATTGGCGGTTTGGCTTTTCTGTGCTGGAGCGAGTCCCCGTTGGAGTTCCATTTCATGCCAAGAGGAAGTCATTCTTATTTGGATGCAGCAAACCTAGGGAGAATGCAAAACATTTGCAAACCTGTCATTGCCACTATGTCACCAACATCCCACCTCTTCTGTTTCTCATCTAAGTTATTGCTGCTCACATGGAGCTTGTTAGAAACGCAGAACTCCAGGCTCCTCTCGAACTCTAGGAATCACTGAGGATCTTGTGGAAATGCAGATTCTGATTTAGCAGGTCCAGGGCAGGGCCTGACACTCTCAGTTTGTAACAGGCTCCCTGCCGATGCCAGTGCTCTGGGCCCAAGACCACACAGAGTAGCAAGCCGTGTCAGCATCCGGCCGGCACCCTTGTCGACCTCTTGGCATAAGGAAGATTTTTTTTTTAACCTATTGAGTACATACCAATTGCCACATGCTTTCCCAAATGCTCCAGTATAATCTGCAAATGACCCTGAGGAGGTAAGTATTCTTACTCCCATTTCACAAGTGAAAAAAACAGGCTCAGAGAAAACAACTTGACAAGGATCCTAGAAGAGGTGAGGGAGGTGGAGTGACATGAAGTGTCCAGCTTATTGTGGTGCACAACAGTGGCCCAGCCCGGGGAGATGAGGCATCCCGATGCATAGCACAGGCAGTTTTTAACGCCTGTCAACAAACGAAGAGGAGATAGTCCAAATGTTTTGACAACTCACGTGACATATTCTACCCCCTTGCTATACAGAGTATTCTGATGTTATCTAGGAAATATGACCAGCATGGGTAAAGGGCATGATGGGCTAGGTGGCTTTTTATTTTAAATGTTTATTTTTTTATTTATGCTTGGGGGGGGGTGGTGAGGAAGATTGGCCCTGAGCCAACATCTGTTGCCAATCATCCTCTTTTTTTTTCCCTCCCCAAAGCCCCAGTACATAGTTGTAAATCCTAGTTGTAAGTCATTCCAGTTCTATGTGGGATGCCACCACAGCATGGCTGATGAGCGGTGTGTAGGTCCATGCCCAGGATCCGAACTGGTGAACCCCGGGCCACTGAATCAGAGCACATGAACTTAACCACTCGGCCACGGGACTGCCTCTGACTTTTTAAAAGAAGGAAGGAAGGCAGGGAGCTGTGCATTTAAGTACTTACTAGGTGCCAGACACTGTACCAAGAATTTCACTTTGTCCTGATCACAGCACTTCTCAGAGGTGGGTATGATCATCTCCATTTTACAGGGAGAACATGGAGCCTGAGCAGTAAGTAACTTACTGTAAAGTAGAAATGGAGTTGCACTTTATCTGGTTCTAAAGCCCACATCCTTCTGTCACTTGATGCTACAGGGACCCTAGGATGGACTTTGAGGGGAGGATCACACATCCCTTCTGTATTAGTTATTTGCTGCTGTGTAACAAACTACTCCCCAAATCTAGCAGCCTAACGCAACAAACATTTTCTCTTTGTTTGTGTGTTTGAGGAGTCCAGGTGTGGCCTACCTGGGCCATCTGCCTCGGGATTTCTTACAGCACTGCAATCAACACATCTTAAATATTTACAAGGAATATTTAAAGCAAGAACTATGGAAAGCATCATATTTAATGGTAAAATCTTGAATATTTTCCCTTTCAGATTAGAAGACAAAGATGCCTCCTGTCACCACTTAGCATCATAGTAGAGACTTTAGTGCAGAGAAGAGACCTAACTCATGAGGATGGGAAAGGAAGAAATTAGACTGTCTTTATTCACAGATAACATAATGTACTTAGGGAATCCAAAAGAATTCACAGGTTATTAGAAATAAGTTGAATAAATTTGCTGGATATGAAATCAGTACTCAAAAATCAACATCCGTATGCAGCCAAAAGTTTAAAAAATTTAAAAATATCAATTTAAAAGCATCAAAAATATCAAATGCCTAGGAATAAATGCAATGTAAGATGTGTAAAACCTCTACACAGAAATCTATGAAACATTATTGAGAGAAATTAGAGAAGACCCAAAGAAATGGATGTATTCTGTTTATGTATTAGAAGACTCAATATTGTAAGGATATCACTTCATCCAAAATGGACTATAGGTTTGATGTAATCCCACTCAAAAAGCCCAACATGGTTTTTACGGGATTGACAAGATGATTTGAAACTGGATATTGAAATGCAAAGGGTGCAGCACAACCAGTGAGGAAGAAGAGGAAGAGAGGGATTTCTCTACCAGACCCCAAGACGGATAGTAAAGGTCATTAATGAAGACTGTGGTATCAGTGCCACCACCGACAAAGAGTTCATGAAGACAGAATAGGACAGACTTTCCCAAAATAAACCCAACGCACGCTTGCCTTAATACATGGAATGATGAATATGTTGTTTCAGACCAAAGGACCTATTTTATGGAGGAGCGAACGTGACAAAGGACAGACTACCATGGGGTCCACTGCTTCCTTCTATAGAGCTGGAGGTCAGACTGTCCTCTCAGAGGCTGAATTAAGGCAGCAGCTTGGGACAGACTCTGTGTGTTGGAGCACAGTTCTCATTTTCAACCGCCAGCCATTATTTGCTGCTGGGTGCCCCACGGCCAGAATACAGAGGTGTGGGGACCGAGGAGTGGAAGCAGGAGCCACCTGCAGCGACCCACCTTGGGAATTCTCTGCTTCCTGTTCCTGCAACTCCAGGCTCTGCGGAATTCGAGGGGCTGGTCCCTGGCGTGGGGAGGTGGGAGGAGGGCTTCTTCTCTTCTCCCATGGACTTTAGATCTCCACCTGCTCCCTGGTCACTTGGGACTGTCCCCGCTGGCAGCGACAGGAGTTACTCTGCTGGTGGGGTAATCACCGTGATTGTGCTGAGGAGCTAGGGCTGCATAACGGGAGCGGTGAGAAGTATGTCTGGAACGTGGAGAGCTCTCAGCGTCACCTCTTGGCAGTGCCGTGCCTGGCGATAACTGTGAATGGGCATTTGCAGCCACCACAGCCCGACGAGGCCAAGGTAAACCGTTGCTCAGATCCTTCAGGAAGGAAGGTCTGGGTCATCCAGACCTTTGGAAGTGCTGGCTGAGGGTGAGAGGGACCCGGAACGGAAGACTGAGACAGGAGGTGCTGAATCTCAATTACGGCCCTAGGACTAGCTGTAGCAGTGGAGACGGTAGCTTGATCCACCAACCCTCCCATTCTGGGTCTCTCTTTAGAGATTGCCACCAGCCACCACCTTGGAGCATGGACAACAGAGTGGACTCAGTGCGCTGAGTGAGTGGTCTCAGCACTGCAAGGCGTGGGCTCCAGCAGACACCACTGATGCCTCAGTCCACACCCTGACTTCACCGAGCCTGCAGGGGGCAACTGGTGTGCTGACAGCTTCCCACCGCAAGCACCCAGGTCTCTTCTCTCTGAGAACTTTCTCCAAGAGCAGAGCAGCCCACCAAGGACTCAGTGCCCCCATAGACCCTACAACCAATGCAGGACAGGAGCTGGGGGACGAGTGCCCAGCTTTCTATCCTTCTGTGGGACAAGTGTGGGGCACATCCTACAGGGCTCCTTAGGGGGTCCCCAATGGGACTGAGCCCCAGTTGCCCACAGTGGCAATTAAGGACCCTTTATTGGCTTTCTCCCTTCCTCGTCACACTTTGTCTACTCCCTCCCTCAGAGCTGGCATGAGGATGAGGGCCCTACGGCCCAGCCCCGAGAGGGACTCTGCCTTAAGTTTTGTACCCCAGAAGCCTCACTCACCTCACCCTGGTCCCAGCTCTACCCTCAGTTGCGCTTCCTGACAGCACAGCACAAATCAGCTGTCTGCACCCAGGTCCTTTCCCAGGATCTGATCAGACAGCTCAGCAATTCCACTCCTGATTGTTGTAAGGGGTTGAACCGTGTCCCCTAAAACATTATGTTGAAGTCCTAACTCCCAGTACCTCAGAATATGACGTTGTTTAGAAATAAGGTCCTTGCAGGTGCAATGAATGAAGATGAGGTCACATTGGAGTGGGGTAGGCCCTTAATCCAACATGACCGGGGTCCTTGTAAGAAGATAATGCAAAGACTTGAGGGAAGAACGCCACGTGCGGATGGAGGCAGAGAGAGGGCTGTGTGGCAGCAAGCTGAGGCCACCAAGGACTCGTCGCCTCCACCAGGAGCTTCTAGGAAGAGGCAAGAAGGGATTCTGCCCAGAATCTCCGAGGGAGCACAGCCCTGCCGACACCTCCGTGTCAGACTTCGAGCCTCCAGAACTACGAGAGAATAAATTTCTGCTGTTTGAAGTCGCCTAGTTTGTGGTCCTTAGTGATGGCAGCCCTGAGAAACAAACGCGATTATGTAATGAGCAGAAATGCGTACACATACACACACACCAAGAAATACATGCACAGTAGCCAAGACACGGAAACCATCCAAGTGCCCATCATCAACTGAGGATTGGATAAAGAAGATGTGTATATACACAATAGAAGACTACTCAGCCAGAAAAAAGACAAATTCATCCTATTTGCAAAAACATGGAAGGACCTGAAGGGAATTATGCTAAGCAAAATAAGCTGGACTGAGAAAGACACACACTATGTGACTTCACTCATATGTGGAAGACAAACAAACACATGGACAAAGACAACAGTTCAGTGGTTACCAGGGGGGTGAGGGGTGGGCACAG